CGAGGTTGCTTGCGCCGACTGACCGGCCGTAGTTGCAGGGACGCATTTGCCGCCAACAAGGATCTGAGACACATCGCATAGGACAGTCGATACCACCGGCAAGACCGACGCTACCGGGGATAAAATCGACGTAACTCCTAGGAGTCCGCCGCCTGTCGAGGTTGCTTGCGCCGACTGACCGGCCGTAGTTGCAGGGACGCATTTGCCGCCAACAAGGATCTGAGACACATCGCACAGAACAGTCGATACCACCGGCAAGACCGACGCTACCGGGGATAGAATCGACGTAACTCCTAGGAGTCCGCCGCCGGTCGAGGTTGCTTGTGATGGCGAAACGGCCGTAGTGACGGGAGTGCTTGTTGCCGCGACACAGTTCCCACCGACCAGAATTTGGGAAACGTCACACAAAACCTATGAGAATGGAAGGATCAGCAAAAGGGAAGATTTTCGCGGGAGCTGTATCTGTGAAGACACTGACTGTTGACACTACCGGTAAGACTGAGGCGACTGGTGCCAATATAGATGTGATACCCAGGAGTTGAGCTTCCCCATAGGTCGATAGCCCGAAGGCACAGAGCAGATGGAGTTGAGAGCGCATGTCGAACAGTGTGTGTGGTTCTGCAGTGGCCAGAAGAGTCTGTGGTCGAAGCAGTAGCAGGAGAGCGATTGAGTGTGAAACGAAAGAGCGATCGACGAAGAGATGAGTCTATTGAAGACGCTGGGTTTACCCCCGTCTTATACGCTTCGGAGCGGTCGAGATTCTGGGCTCATCAGTGGTCTCGACATCAGTGTTCGGCGTGGGTGACATGGACAATTGGCATGCAAGCGATCCACTCACACCACCAAGCTTGATATACTCCAAGAGAGTCCATCACCGGTACCGATTCTGCACCTAGCGCGACCCACCATGTGTTCATTGGAAGTAATGGTATGGTCTTCACACCTGTCCAAATTTCATGTGACGAGACCATTCGATTGGAATTTGGCCGAGCCATAAGAGCTTGGGTCGATGCATAGTCAAAGCAGGTCGTCTGTGGAGAGCGTCCCAGATCAACCAGTGGAACCACCTGGTCGCTTTGTTTCGCCAGTCATGGTAATGCAGCGCCGTATGCGGTCGTAATAACAGAACTGGGCGCGGTTTGGGTACAGACTCTATCCACTCAAGCTCATTATCTGGATCCAGAAGACGCGAGGTTGTGATGACAATGTATAGAGCTCCAATCCTAGCCACATCCGAAGCTTTGTTGGAAGGGATTGATCTCCGTCCGCACATAGATGGTCAGCCGAGCAAGACTAGCTTGTTATTCCAGCAGCTTGAGGTGCTTGAATAAATTTGCACAGCCTTGAGCTCAGCAGAGGAAGTTCACTTGGCGGTGTTGATAGGAGACGCTTAAGGATCCTGGGCATGACTTTGCCGCTGTATACAACACTCCAAATTTGGTACTGGTTACCATATTCTGTTCTTTAAGGATGTATTGTGAACGAGTGAGGTCCCTTGCCAAGCGTTGCCAATTTCGGGAGTTTAGGCGGACAACATCACGTAATCAACCATCATCGTGACAACGGCGGGCTAGTCTTGGGAGGAAGTTGTCTCTCGTAGCGCCTGAGTTACGATAGCAGCGTCTCCACTTACTACGGCTTCGCTCACATCCCTCGCATTGGATGCCAGGCTAGCTCATGGACAAGCCGAGATCTCCAGGCTGAGTGGAGAGATCTGTTGCTGCCGCGTTTCCCTAATCTGTCATCTGAGCTGTTGCCTTGGACGCTTTCGTGCAACTGATCGAGTGGATCGCAGGCTCGCTCGAGCGTAGTGGTGAGCTATCGGGTTTGCCGATGATTCAGACGAGCATTTGAGTAATGCGGAGGTGGCAAAGGAGGGATCATCGTTGCGGAGTATTGGTGATGTCTCGGTTGTATCTACGCGGGTGGTCGACCAGGCAGCACCCCGCGATGTCATGCATCGTGCAGTGCCAGATGACAAGGGCCTAGGATCTACCTTACAGCTGTGTATGTGCGAGCATAATCCGCCTCACCACGATCTCTGCGCAACCGGCAGGCCACCACTGATCCAAAGTTACCGAGATTGAAAGGCGAGACCTGCTAGTACCATGATAGCATTCAAGAGTCGCCGGTACGGTGGGCTCACGATGTTGTGAATGCGACGATACAGTCTGACTCTCCAAGCTCTTCTGGTGAGACTCAAACAGAAGATGGCTATCCGGGGAAAGTGTTGAAATCCCTGGGAAATTGCGAGTCCTTGGAGGCAGGACTTGGGATGCAAATCCGGCTGGGAGGGAGTTGAGTTGGTGAACATGTCTCACTCTGGTTTACGGTAGCTCGGAGTATCGAACATTGCCAATTCTGGGCCATCGATCACTCGAGGATGAAGCGGGCTCGCACATGTAAAGCATCTTGGGCTATGAATAACGCAGTGATATTGCATGTGTGGAACGAAAGGAGGGCTTTCGCCTCCAGCGTATAGTCTCGGGTCGCTAGAGCGGAAGGTCTTAAATCTGTTTGACGAATCAGCGCCTAGTACTCAAGACATCAGTCGAACATGTTCACACCTCACTGTACCAACGGCTCTGAAGCGCACTTCCTCCCTACACACCTATTCCTGGTTCTCATGACCTCCAGCATACACGGCCTTTGCTATCCCCACTTTCTCGTCCCGGAAATCCTACGATGGTGTCTTGACTTCGCCGGCTGGTGTCGACTCCTAGGCTTCTGCTTGATGATGTCTTACTTCTACCTATGTGCACAATATCTGAGTTTTGTGTAGTCGTGCCATCATAACCTACATCTAGGAGGAGCAACAAGCCTCGGCTATTGAATTGCTGAAGGTTGCGATAGTACATGTGCGTGACGATAAGGATTACATCTCCCGCAAGATGCTGCAATCCGACATTACACGTACCCTTATGGCGTCGCGTTATATAGCCTAATCCCCCGTGTATAATGTGTCTTGATCCAAAGACCATACGGCTTTATGCGAGCTAGGTCGAGTGTTTCTATCGTATTAACTATTTATCTAGAGATTCTCCAATATGTAATACGAAGAGATAAGGCAGTAAGTCTAATACTAAGATATAAATCTCGTTTGGCCGTGGTAGATACCCTAGAAAGTAGAGCGCCGATTACCCTCCAAATAACTCTTGGGAAACTATCAATCAAGCGGACAAGCTGCAACACACGTAAAGAGTAACGCAAGAGAAACATTACCGTTGTCTTATTGAAGACTTATTGATGGAGCTTGTTCATCTTGATCGCACATGACACCAGTCAGGCTGATGCGCACGCTTTTGCCATCACGCCTGCTTCGCACCAATAATGCCACTCCTACCCTGAGGCTCGCGGCAGCATCGCCAAAAGCAATACCATGCCGCGATCCTAGGAGCTGCTTAAGCGAATGCCGATGTTTCGCGCAAGTCAATGACATCGATCGCATCAACCGCGATGTGTGGTTCACTAGCTCGGTGCCACGATATAGTCTGTCGGAACAACAAGGCGGCCACAGACCACCGGACGAGAGGACGCTTCAGCTTGGAAAGACAGTCAGAGCGCTACACGAGCGACTACCAACACTACTGCAGTCGCCGCTCCCTGGTGATATCCTGTCACCTCAAATCACACTCCACCTCTTCCCATCGACACATCCTCACCTGCCGACTGTATCAGGTAGGATAGCATACAATGCAGCATTATGGACGGCACCGGTAGCTTGGGGAAGGGTGCCTTTGGTCGGCAACGTCAAGCTCACGATCTTGTCCGAGCGTATGGTACGCAACGGTGGCAGCAACGTTCCGCTAGCGAGCAGAGACGAGAAGCTTGTAGTCAAATGGAAGACGTGCGGCAAGACACGACATCGTGACCCAACAGGCGGAGTCTACAAAGAAGGTAGCATGCAGAACAGAGATCCCATGGACAAGATCAGGGATTTCATCACTGGTGCAACTTCAAATAGTGCGCTCGAGCAAGAAGGAATGGCACGAAAGGCGCAAGCAGAAGAGGAGCAAGAATTCTGCGGCATCTTCGTCTTCGAATTCGACGAGAAGGGTAGGATTGTGAAGCACACTATCGAGCATACGGATGAGGGTGGCCACTGGGATCACATGACCAGGGTAGTCTCAGTCACAGACTGGTTGATTGGGAGGATCAATGGGAGGGGCAAGGAGCAAGTGCCGGAGCTTGCATGGTGTGAGGAACGGCCTACGGGTGGTAGGATAGTTGCTGTTGATAGGCGACCACGATTTGTATGATATATGGGTGGGAGGTGGAATATGATACCCCAACATGCGTGGCGTTTAGGAGGGATGCCGGTGGAGTGATTGTCTCACCTGTGTATATAATGAGCATTATGAGCTTGACTCTCTACTCAAGGTTGACCGATACTTCGTTGACTCAGCGCGCCAGAATCTGCAAGCTTTGAAGAATGCTTCCGGCCATAGATTCGCACTAGAGGGTGGCTAGATATGGTGCATCTTAGCCTCAGCCTTGCATTTACTGAGCACGGAGTCGGCCACCTCAAGCATTGCATGCCGGACGGTCTGAAGGGAATGTTGGAAATAGATTCACACGTGGCTGGCGGAAGTCATCTGGTCCTCAATGTTCGAATCCGCGTTTGAGCTTCATGTACTGCTATCAGCTGCTTAAGCGTGTCTGCACCTCTTTCCATAACACATCATCGAGACTGCCCCGCGCCACATTCATGGACACAGCTTGCAGACTTGTCTCGCGATCTTGTAATTCATCTACAAATTCGCCAAGCTCTTGTGCAGCCTTCTCGTCTTGTACAGCAACCTTCGTATCGCCATTAGGATCCCAGAGTATGCTAGATGTCGCAATTTGCAGTCCTAAAGACTGCGCGACTGCTTCCCCGACTGCTTTGGTCTCTCCAGGCTCACTCAAAACTACAACCCTGCCCTCCTCGTCCTCCTCCACATCCGTGGCTCCTGCTTCCAAAGCAGCATCTAGCACCTCGTCCATGCCAACCCCATCTCGTGCTCAAATACTGTCTTGCCTCTCTTCTCAAACAAGTACGCACATGGTGTAGCGTTGCCACCTGCCTCCTTGAGTATCAACCTCACTTCCGCCAACGTCCTCAATTTATTATCGGTCTCACACTCCACAATCACTGCCACATTTCCCGGTAGTATGCCCTCTAACGTCACACTCTCTAGTGCGACGCCACTCGTGCTTCTGCCCTGCCCTCTGGCTATAGCCGCTTCGATAGATGCTTTAGCAAAACCTTCCCTCTTCGCTTTCGTGATCAGATCGGCCAAACGAGTGTTCAGACTCGGATCGGGTCCGAAGAGTTTACTGGCTGTGGCTAGTTCGGCGGAGAATATGGAACGCTGTTTGTTCTTCACAGAGTCGACTTTGGCTTTGTCGTGTTTGATCTTGGACCAGCGGTTGTGGCCTGAGTAGATAGAGGGCGTGGTTGAGAAGCTGCGGGCTTGAAGGCGACATCTTGGGCAGACATAGTATTCCAGACTCGATCTTGCTGGATCTGTCAGTCTTCTTAGTCCTCTACTGGGTGCCATCATGGTGTTCGATGATGTCGATGCAAGGCGTGTTTCGCAATTGCCAGTTTGGGATGAACCCTGCGGAGCGGCGATGAAGTGTGGGAATGTGGTCTCGAGCGCATGTGCTTCTGGCATATGACCGACCACAAATTGTTACGGATGATCTGATTGATGAAGAGACGATCGGTATGGCAGTCTGACTCTGACCACCATGGCGGAAACAGTATCAAGCACATCACAGAATGGTGCTTCTCGCCCACCAACCGCCAATGGCGCACCACCCACTCCAGCTCCGGCGCCTGCTCCTGCACCGTCACCTTTCCAGCTGGATGTAAGACGACTCCACGATCTACCGTCGGAGCAGCAGAGCCTATACCTCTTGACCTTCACAGCCGATCTCGTCCGTCATGTTGACTCTTTGGACTCAGCCGGAGCAGCAGCAGAACAAGCACCGATCAAGAAAGAACTGCTACAGATAGTCAACCTCTCCTCTCCTGCACCAACTCGAGTCATACGAAAGAATCTGGCTCGATGCTTTGCGGGCATCTTCAGCAAGGAGAGCAGAAAGTCGCTGTACGAGAGCATTAATGATTTGGTGGCTATCGTTCAGGCAGGCAAGGAGAAGGATCTCGTGGCGAGACATGCGGCTGTCGTATGCCTTGGTGTGGTCTTCGAGGCTGCAGGAGACAGCGCCATGAGTCTGTCGCCACTGGCTTGTACAGCGTTGTTGAAAGCACTCAAGGGAGCCTCGAGTGACACGGGCTACCGAAGTGCGATCTATAAAGCCTTTGCCAGAATCACGGTGGGTATTGCTACAGCTATCGATGAGGATATTGGTCGCAGTATCTGGAAGCAAGCTCGGAATGCTGCAGGCAGCGACAAGTCACTACTCGTACAAGCGAAAGCGTGCTGGTGCTTAGAGCAGCTTGTGCGGTGTACACCATATTTCGACAACTCGAATGATTTCGAGAAGCTTCAGACAGCACTGTACAAAGCGCTCGAGAGCTCATCGGTGTTTGTGCGCAATGTAGCAGCCTCCTGCCTGGCAGCCGAGCTCGTCAAAAGTTACACAGAGACACCTGGCCAGGACGTGGTGCCTCGTATACGAAAGCCCAAGAAGACCAAGAAAGCTACCAAGGGAGAGGAACTCGACGAGGAGATCGATCGCGCATCATCGCCGGCACCCGAGAAGCCGGCGACAGCTCTATCGTACAGTCTACAGGAACTCTTGCGGATTCTGTCAACCCACTACTGTCGGGCCACTACACCTAACAAAGCTCGTGCTGGTCTAGCAGTATGCTATATCAAAGTTCTGAAGGCGCTCGGCGAGAGCGTGGTAGAGAAGAACTTTGCAGATATTGCCCGACACCTTTTCACCGATATTCTTGGACATCCCAGCCTGTTGTATAACAAATATCGGCAGCTTATCAGCAGAAAGCTGGTACGTCTGGTGTTGGAGCGAGTGGTGGGTAAAATGCTTGGCGAAACGGCACAACTCAATGCCTGTCGCTTTCTGATCAACGATATCATCAAGGATTACCCTCAAGCTGTCAAAGAGCGACCAGAGCCAAGCAAGCAAACTCTTGTTGGTGCACTCAGCGCTTTAGCTGCTTTCATCGACTATCTTGATGCAGCTATTGGAACCATCGCAGAGCCATGTCGTGAAGCATTGCTGCAGGTTCTACAGCATCCCAACTTTACTGTACAGGTTTATGCTTCGCGAGCTCTCCGTGCATTCGTGCTCGCTTGCCCTCAGCAACTACTTCCAACGGTGACCATTACCATGAATAGCGTCAACCGGGAACTTAACTTACTCGCCGGACCACGGCAGGCACCGAAGCGATGCATTGGTTATGCTCATGGCTTGGCAGCCGTTCTCGGCACTTCCAGTCACCACCCGCTGTATGGTTCTGTCGATGTTTATGCTCGAGTATTGCAGCAAGCGACTTCACTGCTCAAATCTAGCGGTAGCTCCGACCTTCGCATCTCGAGCTGCCAACTCCAGGTAGCATGGATTATGATCGGTGGGCTCATGTCACTTGGTCCAAACTTTGTCAAGATCCATCTCTCGCAGATGATGCTCCTGTGGAAGAATGCACTACCGAAGCCAGTACCCCAGGAAAATATGAGCCAACGCAACATGATTGAGCTCAGCTATCTAGCGCATGTCCGCGACTGTGCCCTTGGTTGTGTCAGAGCTTTTCTCGCTTACAATCAGCGCTTGCTGACACAGGACGTATCAAGACGATTGTCGGCGATGCTCGAGAGCACAGTCGCTTTCGTGCAGAGCCTACCAGAGAGGAAGACGAGCGATGATCCCGGCAATCGATTGTCGCCGGCTCTACAGCTCCAGGACTACGATGTCATGGTGCGAAGAAGAGTGTTTCAATGCTTTTCTATGCTACTCAAGCTCAGTCCTGCGGGTAGCTTGGAGTCCACAGCACATTCGACTGTGCTGCCGCTGGCGGTAGCATCATTCTCAGATACTGAATACTATGCACCTAGCACCCTCTCCGCTGCCATTGCGAGTGCTACGGCAGCATTCGAGAACATTTGGGATGTTGGAGATAATTATGGATTTGGCGTTACTGGACTGGTGCAAAGGCTCGACGTGCGAGACCCTATAAGTGGTGTAATGTCTAGACACTGGTCTTCTCGGACTGGAGACGAGGATGAGGCGAGCAGGCTTGTGGATTCACCCGTTGGCACAGGACCCGAGTACGATACAACATGTCTTTACGTCGAATCGAGTATAGACGACGAGGTCAACCCCGCAGGCACCGAGGCAGTCAACGCTGCCATCCGCGCATTCGGGTTATGCTTGCCACTGCAGGCGCCGAGGATTCAGGAAAGTGCTCTCGAGCAGATCCTGTCTTCCCTCAGCTCGACGGCACTTCAGAAAGATCCCGCGCGAAGAGCTACTATCATTGTCAACTCTGCGCTTGCGCTTAGTGCTGCATGTCACGTGGCTACAGGCGATGCTGGCGTGGCTAGGGGCAACCTGCAGAGCGCAAATACTGAGAAAGGCTTACAACAGCTTCTTCATGCTTTCGTAAAGGACACGGACGATAGCGTACGACTCGTGACTGCGCGTGCTATAGGCGAAATGTGTCGCAGCTCAGGCAATGCGCTCACGTCCTCCGAAGTCACCTACCTCACCGAGACAATCGTCAACAACCGAGAACCTCATGTGCGGGCTGGCTGCGCACTAGCGCTTGCGAGCATCCATTCCCAGCTCGGTGGCATGGCTGCTGGCTTTCACATGAAGAATATTGTCGGCATACTAATGTCACTCGCTGCGGACACACACCCCTCCGTACACTTTTGGGCTCTAGACAGCTTGGCGCAGGTCGCTGAGTCTGCTGGCCTTAATTACTCGAGCTATGTTACTAATACTATTGGAATGTTAAGCCGACTCTATGTGTCGGATGGACATGGACCAGAGACGAGCGCGCTTGCGCCTTCAAACATGGCGATCGGGTTACCTGTTGCTGCAGCTTTGGCTCGAGGTGTAGACTCTACGATCAACGTGCTTGGACCGGATCTGCAGGATATGACCAAGGCTAGAGACATGATTCTTACGCTCGTACGACTTTTCGCGGACGAAGAGGATACGTCCATCCGTTTAGAGGGTCTCAAGTGTTACGAACACCTGTCATTATATGCTCCTGGTCATCTAGAGTTCGAGAAGTATGTGCAGCATCTACAGAGCGCAGTGAACAGCGAGCCCGAGATTGCAGGCTCGGCGTTGCATGGCTTGTCCTCACTTATGAGGCGGGATGCCGTTGACATCCTTCGAACTGCCAAGCCTGGCCTCGAAGATCGGCTCTGGGATATATTGAACAACACTCCCGATCAAGCTGAGATAAGAAGCATCTTCACGAATTGGCTCCACCAGACAGGCTCAAGTGACCCAGCGGAGTGGATTCAGCGTTGCAATGCTGTGCTCACAAAGACAAAAGCCAAGCTCGAGCAGCCAAAGACTGCGCAATTGAAAAATACCGCAGGCCCAGACGTGCAGGATGAAGAGGTGGCAGGCTTCGCGGTTGCTGCAGGCGCGACGAGAGAAGACGACTCGTCCGCGGCTACCTCGACACAAGAACTGATGAGGTGGCAAGTGCGCCTCTTTGCCATGACGTGTCTCCACGACCTCATCACGATGATCAGCAAGGAGGCTGCTATCAGCGATGACGGGCCAGGTGTGGCGGCCTTACAAGTGAAGGTAGCCGATGTGATTCGCATCGCTTTCTCTGCGTCTACAGCGGGTGTGGCTGCTTTGCGCGTTGTTGGCATGCGCATTATCGATCAAGTGCTGCGACTCTTCGGCCGCACAGCCGACCCTGATTTTCCAGAAGCTATGCTGCTGGAGCAGTACCAAGCACAGATCAGTTCGGCCCTGACTCCAGCATTCGCTGCAGACTCGACGCCTGAACTTGCCGCAGCCGCTGTCAGTGTCTGCGCGACCTTTATCGCTACTGGTATAGTCACAGACATCGACCGTATGGGCCGTATACTCAAGGTCTTGGTGTCTGCTCTTGATAGCTTCGCGAAGGAGTTGGAGTCAGCGAGCATCGGCGACTTACGATCTTTGAGCTCAAACGCTCAGGTCATGGTGCGCATGGCTGTGTTCTCTGCATGGGCACAATTGCAGATCGCGAGTGCGGAGCAAAAGTATCTGATTGATGTTGTCAAGCCGCATATGGCACAACTCGTGCCGCTCTGGCTGGCATCCTTGCGAGAGTACTCTCGGCTGCGCTTTGAGCCAGACATCTCCGCATCTCTGGGGCCACCTGGTCCGGGCGCTGATCTTGATACCGTGTATGCTGCGCTCAATAGGCAAACGTTGCTCAAGTTCTACGCAGACGCTTGGCTGAGCCTGGTCGATGCGATTGCAAGTCTAATCGACGAAGACAGCGAGCTAGTATTCGAGGCTCTAGATGGCAAGCAGACGGACGTCGAGACCAATGGCGAAGGTAACGATATTATCTCGAACGGCGTTACCAGGAAGAACACCGGCATCAACTATCGCGAAGAGCCGGTCGCGTTCTTCTTCGTCCTGTTTGGCCTTGCATTTGAGTCTCTGGCAGTGCGATCGAATGATGACGATGTCACGACTAGGCAACGAAATCTAGACATCTTGCAGGCCTTGAACAAGATCCTACGACCCTCGGTATCGGGTAATGCGGTCTACCAGGAGGTGGTCTTCTCGGAAACAGTGGATCTGCTTTCACGGATGGTGCTCACAGAGAGTCTGAGTGTTCAGTCAGTGGTCGTAGATATTGCTCGGAATCTATGCTTGGTGCATCCGTCTTCGCGGCTAGGGCTACAGACACCAATCAATGGTGACGCTCTATCAGATGACATCGAACAGCTATTCGAGCTAACAAGGATCATCGTGCTGGTACTCGGTGGCCTCATACCAGGGCTTGCAGATACGCCATTTTCTACGCGGCTAGACACATCTGAAGAAGCTACCGCGCTTGTCCGGACTTCACTACAAGCTCTAGTGGACGTGTCCGAGGTCTTCCCCTCCATCATCAAGACAGACTTGCACGCTACAGTTCTGCACATCTTCGTCACGATCCTCGCGACAGGCGTCTGCCAAGCTACTGTGGTACCCCAAGCTTTGCCGATATTCCGTCGCTTCATCAACAGCATCGCGGGTGATGGTCGTTCCGAGACGCAAAGCCAACTGCAGAATGCCTTGGCACGGATGCTCTTGATACTGAAGAATGCACAGAAGCGTGAAACGGAAGCTAGTCTGCCCTGTGAGAAGAGCACATTACTTGCCACGACTATTTTGTTATCTTCCGCACCCAAGGATATCAAACAGGACGATCTACTGCTTGCACGCTTCGTGAATGAGCTCTGCGAGAGTCTCGGTGCTCCGATGACTTCACGAGTGGCTGCTGGTTGCGTACGTACTCTATTGCTGGCTGATGTAGCTTCTGCGCCACTATTCACAGCCTCGTTACATTTCCTCGCCGATCCAGTAGACCTGGAAGGTCTGGCTGAGAGCAGAGTCCTCATCGCTCAGACTTTGACCACGTTGGCTGCAAAGGTACATCAAGGACAAGGGCCAGCTGTAGTGGCTTTAGTCATGAATGTGCTCCTAGAGCGTGCCGGTAAGGAAGGAGTGTCGACCCATCAAGAGACTTCTGCTCGGCTGCTGGACCTTGCAGCACTGGACAACGCCACTTTCCGTGGTGTGGTGACTGGTATGGATGGAGAGCGGAGAGATTTACTGGAACAAATCCTGAAGGCTAGGACTGCAGTCCAGCAAGCAAAGAATGATTCGAATGGTGATCGCGAGCCCACTATTGCTTTGAAGATGAACTTTGGTGGGTGATGCCTGTAGAAACATATTCTCCATCCATCTATTATCGTCCCGCATTCCCAGGGGCCTGCTGAGCATCTTCATCCTCGCTTTCCTCGTCTGAATCCTCGCTTTCCGGAGCACGCTGAGCATCTTTCTTGCTCTCTGCCTCATGTCGCACGAAGAGAGTTAGTAAGCCGATATCGTAGGACCCCTTGAGTGCTCCCGCTATCACGAAGGCGACCCAGAAATGCCCGCGACCCGCCAGAACTCCAGTGATCAGCGGGCCAGAACTCTGGCTCATTGTCTTGACCGTGTTCACTATACCCATTGTTGCGGTTCTCTCATCGTCCAAGACAACGGCCGACAAGAAGGCGCTTCGGGGAGCCTGGTCCATGGAACCAAGGACTGACCTTGCAACGAGCAATATAATCGTCACGGTCAGTGAGCTCGGAAAAGGAAATAGTGCAAGGAAGACAGCGCTCGGAAAGTGAGTGAACACCATCGTCTGCACCAAACCAATCTTTTTCGATATAGCAGAGGCGAAAATGTTGCCGATGCTGGCGGCGAAAGCTGCACCGGACATGATCGAGCCCAGCGTGCCCTTTGGCATGGCGAACTTGCCGTTCATGAAGTAGGCCACCAAAGACCCCGGGACCATGCCGCTAGCTAGTGAGTCAAAGAAGAAGAGCATACAGAGCTTTGCCAAGGTAGCCTGTGACTTCGGTGATAGTCCTAAAATACTCTTCTTCGCCGGCGGTGGCTTTGAGGCCGGTTGGTTCGGGCTTGATGTGTCGAGGAAAGGCTGCATTTCGTGTGATGCTTCGGCAGGATCGTGAGAGACTGGTGGCTTAGGCGCTGGCTCGCATGCCTTTGTCAGGAGCAGACTCAGTGCGGCCTTGACAACTCCGCAGCCGGTATAGTACCAGAATACCACCCGGAATGAATCCAGTTCAGTCCAGCCTGACGTTTGTAACCTCTGCACGAACCAGCCACACGCCAGCGAGCCTCCTGCTGTTCCGAGGGTACCGAAGATGACATACCATGCGAAGACGTCAGATCTCCTTTCCTTCTCGGTGAGGTGCGCGATCGTGCTCTCCTCGATTGCACGAAACGGACCAATCTCGTTGCCACTGGGACTGATAACACCAATGACTGCCGCCAGAAGCAGGATCCAGTAATTCGAGATCGTCGCGAAAACGATACCGGAAAGTGCCATCGACATTGCTCCAAGGATTAGTATCCGACGTCGTCCAAGTCTGTCCGCGACGAGGGTCAAAGCGAGACTGATGGCGACATCGCCAATCAGAGTGAGGGTCATGAAGAGGCCGATCTGGGTGTCCGCGTACTTGAGCTGCTGAAAATACAGCGCCAAGATGAGCGTGCTAGAGCCGTAGGCAGTCATGCGGATAAAGCGTGTTAGGAGCAGGATGTAGATGTCCTTGCTGCATGTCGCCAGTGTTGCGATGCCCAGTGTATCCGCTGCTTTTGCAGCAAAACCTTTCATGGGCATTTTTGCCGTGCCTGGTTCCTCAACTCGATTATCGCCTTAGCTTGTGTTATCCAATTGCATGATATGGTGGTGCGAGTTGACATGCAGACTCAAAAGCCTAGATGTTTGGAAACGTCAACACGGAAAGTGTGGCGGGCCGCGTGGCGCTGGAAAGCATGTTTGTCCAATCTTGAGACATGAGTGACAACCTTTGGATGATATGTTTGTGTGGTGCTAAGATACAATTTTTTGGTCGTTAGATGAATATGATACCATTCTGGCTTGATGAGTGCAGAAAGCAAAAAAATCAGAAAAGCCTCGTGTCCGCATTGCAAACCACGCCCAAGCTCCGGCTCATGTCTTCTATCCGATCCAGACATGCGCCAGGCATGTCAAGATGATTAAGAAACAGCAGGGTCAGGGCGCATGAATGCACAACCACCACCTCCACTCCCTCACCACCTTCCTCTCTCCCCAGCCACATCCTCACCTCACTCTCCTGCCTCCACCATCGCTCATATCCTATCATATCGAGCCATTCCACTTTGAACCTCCCCATTTTCATCCAAAATGACGCCCATCTTACGCAGTTGAGCCCCCTGCTCCATTCTCTCCGTCTTCACATTAGCTGCACGCTCCTTCTGCCGAAGGATTTTGATATTGTTCCAAGGCGGCCTTCCTAGCAACCTGATCCGCATGATACTGCAAGCCATGCGGAAGGGACTTCGCGTCCACGTCCTCGTCTTGTGTGAGGTCGATGACCTCATGCTTGACCCGCACCTCTCTCCTCCCGGCCTTGGCCTGGACTTCATTCCCCGCCTCACTCTGTACCGTTACAGTCGGCCCCGGAAGTCCTTCACCGGGATCCCGTGCCTGACGCCCCTGCTGCTGATGTTCCGCGAGAACACTAGTGGTGTGAACAAAACCCGCCTGGTCGGGAGACCTCCAAACCCCTGTGTAGTGTTCCTGCTACCCGATCCCTAGCCTTAGGAGTATTGAATCCGTTACTCGACATTATAGGCGCCGTTCGAGTCGTATCTTCCGAGGTATAAGTTGCCCCAGAAGCAGTAGCCGTTATACTTGACTTAGGGTGGCTAACCCCGCAGTATCTGTGTACGAATTCCCTTATCCCCACCTGATTTGGACGATGCGGGAACTTGGGCGCCCGGCCCTCTAATCCCCGCCTCGAGATGTCATCTTTGTCCTAAAACATCATCTTGCTCCGCAACTCCCGGGCGACCGTCCTGGATCTTCCTCCGCTTCCTCTCTAGCCCGTCGTCTTCAACATCGTTCCTATCGATGTCGTTACGCTCGCCGAAGCTGTCCTCGCCGAAGTCACGCCCGTTCTCTTCCCTAGACCGCTTCGAAACAGAAGGGTGGCGAAGCCCAATAGTCGCTTCCCTCCGTGACTTCTGGTGCAGGCTCCCTTTTGCTTTCGGCGGCTGAAACCGACCTCCGTTGGCTGGGGTATCAGGGAAAGGGCTCGGGAGGTGTCGCGAGTTAGGGAGGAATCGCGACTTGGGGAGGCCTTGCGACTTAGGGAGGAATCGCCCCTTAGGGAGGAACCGCCGCTTGGGGAGCAATCGCGGCTTGTTGAGCGATCGTACTCGAAAACGATGTCGCCACTTAGAGAAGTCTCCCGAGCAGGTGTTCGCTCGATGCTAGTTTGGGAGTCGACGAAGACACTGTTCCATGCGACGGGGTAGCGCGGACGATCGAGGTATCGTGGCGGAAGCATGGTCGCAGAGTCCTCGGTATAGACGAAGAGTACGGACGAGGGTTACAAAGTTCCAGGGAGAGCGGTCGAGTTAGACGAGTTCTAGACGGGGAGGTCGAGGGGGATTTTCTGTTGAAGATGGGTTAGTATATAAAGTATACTCTAAGACAGTTTTTAGAATATACATACTAATCGTATTTTGCCGGGGAAGAAGAAGAAGAAGGAAAAGGCGGAAGGCTGTCTCGTAGATTCGCTATTACAACTAGGTTAGTAGATGTACCCCAAGATATCGAATGGATAAACATACTAATACGAAAACCGGTTTCGCGCGAGGCTAGGGAGAAGGCGGCCGTCCTTGTAGGAAGGGTAGAAGTGTTGTCAATGATGTCGAAGAGGGTTTTGTAGTGGTCGGATGTAAGAAGTATCGACGTGTACGAGTGCAAAACAAACAAGAAGCAGAAGGTGGCGGCGACGAGCTTGTCATAACCCCCTCCAGCGACAACAGGCAACAATGCTAGCGCCATGCAATCTCAGCCACAGTTCACTCCGAAGGGGGAAGTGAAGTCCCATCACACAACTGATGGAGTTCTCACCTAAAGAGTCCGCTTAGCAGCGCAGACGGCACCGCGGCTCACTGCGCTCCGCAGATCTGCTTACCTGCTCGCGCCGTGGTATGCAGAGGTCCAGAGACTATGAGCCAACAGGGGTAGGGAGAGTCGGTCGGGTCAACTCATCAAGGCTATAGTGGTTGTAGTGTCCAGCGTGGGGGATGGCAGAGCGTAGCAGCATGGAAAACTCCGGTCACAATCCCCTGCGGACACTGGATTCCATAGCCCGCCGGGATCATGTGCTCTCACTCCAGACGGCTCGCCACTCCCCTCACTCGGTGATCCACGTGCGGCGGTATCGCAGCATGTGCACACTCGGGATGCTGATCTCACAACTCCAGCATAGTACGATCGCAACGATCGCAGCGAACGCGCGTACGACCTCCCTTTGAGGCCTGTCTATCCATGGTTCCGAGTCTACAGCGGGGTCAGCAGGATCAGTGGTTACGTGCGACGCTGTATGAGATATCATGAGATGCCATTTCCCGGCAAGCGGATGAGATGGAACAGTAGAAATGTTAGGACATATTCTGTACATAAAATTCCGGTGGGTTTGCTGTATCTGCCTGCGTGCCTTGAGAAGACGTCGGCTTGGATGGAGTATCGTACATGCCCGTTTGCCGTCGCCATACCACCAATACCATTTATTGGGTGGTGATCGAGTGCGCGAAGATCTGCCTCTTGCGCAGATGCACGGGTGTCTCGTTCTCCGGCGCGCCTGGGATCTTCTTCTCGATGTTCTGCAGGTAAAAGAATATGTTAGCAACCCGACTCCCATTCTTCAAAACACCACATTACCACCCAAAAAATTCCCCTTCCATCCCCCGATACAGCATCAGGCGACAAGAACTCACCAACTTCTCAAAAACACACGCATTCAACGGCCGCTCCCACCTCCGACACTGCCAAAGCTGCTGATTGTTATCATCCAAACAACTCCAATGCTTCCGGAACTCCTCCAAACAACTCTTATTCACATCCTCCAACACGCCCGCCGCACACCGCGTCACCTTCCTGCCTTCCTTCAAGCAATCCACCTCCCCGGTCCCGTTGGCGGCGGTTTTGCATTGCATGAAGTCGTCATTGTAGGGTTTGCAGCGGGCGCCGATGAAGTAGGAGGCGCTGAGGAGTGGGGCGGAGGAGGAGCCGATTTCGGGGACGGGAGGGATGGAGGAGGGGAGGGGGGTGGTGTCTATTAGGAGGTGTTGGTTGAAACTGGACGAAAGATGGTGTTAGTGAGTGCTCTTCCCGAAGGTGTGGTTGTGGGAGAGGAGGGTTGGATGTTGGCAGGAGTGGGGAGAGTAGTGTGGTCTCACCGTGGCTGTCTCGCCGACATGGTGGCGGAGGTGGTCTGGTCTCAATGGCTTGTTGTCGGCGACGAATGGGCTGTCGGCCTCGAGAGCTCGAGGTTGGCCTCGCGGAGTGAAGCGGGATGGCGGGATGAGCCGACGGGAGGGTCCGAGTGGTCAGAGCTGAGCTTCGCGCGTTTCGTGATTTGTGAGGTAAGTCTCAAGACCGAAGCTCAGGCAACAATAGACAGCACTATTGCTATCGTCGCTGGCTTGCAAACGACCCAAAAAGTCACACATATCATCCTGATAACATCTTCATATTAGCCTTGCCACTCCTCTCACCAGCACGAACATAGCAACGAACCACAACCATGACCTCCCTCTTCGGCAACACAGCCGGAGGTTCTCTGTTCGGCAACAACAACAACAACAACAACAACAACAACAACAACAACAACACCACCGCCCAGTCCAATCCAGCGCCAGCAGGTCAATCACTCTTCAACCCTGCGCCTACCCAGCAGCAACAACCACCGAACAGTGGCGGCTCTCTCTTCGGCAATAGTCTATTCGGCGACACCCAACAACAACAACAACAACAACAACAACAACAGCAGCAGCAGCAGCAAGCAGCAGGCACATCCAGTCTCTTCGGCAACCAAAACCAGCACAACACCGGTGCCGCCACCTCCTCCCTCTTCTCCAACCCCAGCCAACCCCAACAACAACAACAACAACACACCCAGCAATTCCAACCGCAAAACCTCACCCTCCCCCAACAACAAGATCTCGCCCGCAGTCGCCTAGCCCAAGCCGGCTTGAACCCCGTCCGAAGCGACGAAAAACCCATCCCCGACCGCGCTGCCACCCTCCTCCGAAAATGGGATCCCCAATCCCAATCCACCCTCCTGCAATCCTACCTCTACAACGCCGTCCCCGCCGTCTACGCACCCTTCTACAACGCGCCCACCACAGACGACGAAGCCAAATGGGAAGAAGCGCTACAAACCGCCCCCAAACTCGACTTGGAAGCAGGGAGTGAGAGTCTCAAAAATATCCCCGTGCTGGTGCGAGGGTTCTGGGATTTGGGGAAGAGGGTGGAATATCAAGCCCACACCCTCACGGCTATGCAGACTCGTTTGCATGAGATGCATGCTTCGCTTTCGGCGGTCATGACGGCGCATCAACAGCGTATCACGGCGCAGATTGAGAGTGCGAAACGGGCGCATGTTGCTTTAGGCCAGAGGACACTGGCGTTGAGCGTTAAGCTGCAGGTTTTGAGAGGCAGGGGTTTCGCGCTGGATCAGGCGGAGGAGGCTCTGAGGAAACAGCTTTTGCTACTAGAGCAAGGTGTGCGTGATCCGGGGTTTGGCGGGAGGGAGGAGGAGGTGTGGGCTCGGTTGTGTGGACTACGTGAGCGGGTGAGGTGGTTGGTTGAGGAGGGGAGGAGGTTGGAGGGTGGGGCTGCTGTTGGGGTTGGAGGTGCTGGGTCTGGTAGCGGTGGCGGTGAGGAAGGAGATGCTGGAAGGGTGGTGCCGAGACATGTCCTGGAGAAGACGGGGAGGATTTTGGCGGATTATGAGACGCAGCTGGGGCATTTGGGCCGGGAGCTGGAAAGGGTGAATAAGGAGTATGTTGAGTGGGAGGCTGATAAGGGCTCGAGAGCGGGTGGACGGTGATGCCTCTTCGTGGAGTCTTGGCTACGTGGGCGAAGGGGAGTTGAGCGGCTTCGCATCGCATCGCATCGCATCGCCTAAGGTGCCTCCGATCCCGGTCTTCTGCCTGCCCTACATTGTACGAGAATGAGATCCAAACAGCAACCAAGCACGGAACTAGCAACCGTGGAACCCGCCTGCAGGCAGCATGGACGAAGAAAGGGCTTCCGCGCCACACGTACACATATAGCCGAGCAAAGGGGTTCTCGGAGAGCGTGCGCGTTTTTACTTGCAACTGTCGACGTCCTACTGTAGAACCCTCCTTCACCGAGGGCTCGCAAACGTGACGCGCACATCTTCTTGTCCATCACAAGAGACGGAACCAACCCAGGAGGATCATGTGGGCGAGCGGGAGGCTGTGACGGAAAAGTCTGAGTAACTCGTCCATCCAGCTATAGTATCTCAGGTGATTCCCCTGCCTACTACTCAAGCAATAAGTTCGGGTGGTAGATAAAAGTGATACAGCCCTATCCCCTCCCCAATCCAAGAATATCATCCCAGCCCACTCCGCTCTCAAGGCCCCGCTCGTAGGCCTATCCCCCGCACTCCCCAAAAACAATCCCATCCGGATCCCTCTGCCCCCACTTCCTAGCATCGGTCTCCTGCTGCTCTTCATACACCCTCAGCCTATGAAAACCCCCCCTTTCTTCGCAGATGAAGCACTAAACCCAAACAAACGCCCCCGCATGAGCAATAAACAAGAGTAGGGCCGTCAAGGAAAGAAAAATGCTCAAGTCCGGGCCCCCGAGCGCCACCTCTACCGCTTCTTCTTCCCCCCCTCGCTCTTCGCCACAATCTTGTTAAACGCCGCATTACTCCCCGTCCCCGCCCCCTTAACCCCCCCTAAATGCGCATTACTCAGATTGTTAACAGGCGCAACGCTATAAGTCGGTAACCCGCTCCCATCAGCCCGGGCGCGATTCCCCGGCATCGGCATAGCCAACACCGCCCTCCGTTTCTCCGCCGCCACCCTCGCCTTCTCCCCTGCTGACATCTCCACAACCCCACCCGCACTCCTACCAGCTGCCCTCGCCGCCGCGGCCTGAGCAAGTGGGTCGTAGAGTTTAGTCGCGGTCGTCATGTTCTTCCTCGTCGTCGACTCTTTGCCGAGGACAATGCGCATCCATTCGCCTATTAACCGCTCGGCATGGCGTTTGATATCCTGTTGTGGTTGGATGGATTTGGTGTAGAAGAGGACGACTTTTCCGATCCCGGAGGCTTTGAGCGCTTCTTTGCCGATGGGGAGGCGGCGGAGGGTGGTGAAGAGTTCGCGTTGGATTTGGTAGTTGGGGAGTGCAGCGTCGTGGTCGGCGGGCTCGAGCATGAAGCGGACCTGCACAAATAAACATATCAGCATGTTGATTTCGTCGTCATTCCGTTACTGTGTGTATGGATGTAGTGTGGTGTAACGGAGTGGAGAGATGACGTGGAACTTACCGCCTCCAAAATATTCGTATCCGGATCCACAAGCTGCGACTGAATGGTATTCCGATTCAACAGCTCAACGACCTCTGGAAGGATCTTGAGTTTATGCGTCGCGATCTCCCCTCTCGATCGCGCTTCGGCATCGGCTTCACACGCCTTCGCCATCTTCTGCCGCATGACCTCGATCTCCGCATCGGCCATTTCCTCAAGATTATGGACGCCGCGACGACGGGTAGGGGCGCGATGAGATTTGAGCGCCTCGTCCATTTTGCGATCGAGGGCGCGGCGGCGGCCTGCACATACATAAGACATGGTCAGCAAGGTCTCGTCAAGTAGCGAGGATAGATAGGATGTCCGACTCACGCTCCTCGACACTAAGATTCTCCTCATTCTCCGGCGTCCTGGCCCTGGGAGCCTTCCTCGTCGCACCCCCGCCACCGCCACCGCCACCACCACCATCGCCCTTCCCCCTCCTCACCCTCTTCCCCTCCATCTCCGGCCCGCCCTCAAAATCCGGCTCATCCTCCTCATCACCCCCATCCGCCCTAGCCCTCACCCTCTTCGCCTTCTTCGGCCGCTCCCTCCTCCCCTCCTTCTTCTTCTTCTTCTGCTTGCGCTCCCGCTCCTCCTCCTCCGTCCGTTTCCGCTTGTGCACGCCCAGGAGACCGACATTATCTGCATCCACCGCCACGGGTTTATCCGGGATGTTGAGGGCGGAGGGGTCGAAGTCGTCGAATTCCTTTTCTGAGAGTTCTTCGAGCTCGGATTCGGCGTCGGAGTCTAAGGCGGCTTCGGCTGTGTTGCCTAGATCTGGATCTTCGTGTTCGTTTCGGCTGTCGGGAACTTTCTCGTAGGTGTCTTGGTCCGCATCACCGTCCATGAGCGGGTCGGCGGGCTCATTGTCCTCTTCGTCGATGGCGGGCGCAAGGGGGTCGGCAGCGTCATCGAGCGCCTGTGGTTCTTCGTGTTCCGAGAGCGCTGGGCTGCCGGCTGGAATTTCCAGATCTTCCATGTTGGTGAGTACCTTATCTTCAGAGTGGGTAGTTGTGTTTGTGTTGGAGGGAAGTTGGTGGATGTTCTTGCTTAAGAAGATGAAGAAGTGAAGACAACTCCAATTACTAGCGTTTGTCACGTGAACGAACGAATGGTGGCCCGAGCGTCCACAACCCTCGCGGAGCCGCATGTCAAAAGTCAAGATGCGAGTGGGAAAGACGACGGCAACATATATATATATATATATATATATACGATTCACATCAACCCTCTTACATCTCATCACTACCTGCATCATGTTCGGCGGGCGTATGTTACTCCACAAGCCATCGATCACCACCCACTAGCTAACACATATTCCTAGCACCACCACCCCCTTCAGCGGAAGAGCTACGCCAGCAAGAAGTCGCCGCCTCCGCCACCCTTTACAGCGCCGGCGTCATGTGTGTGCTCCTGTATCTATGTAGGCACCTACTCAGACCTACCATTGAGCACAGCTTCGCTAACAAGCTCATCTACAGCACCTTTCGCCGTCGACTACGTCAAGCAACTCATCTAGACCATCTCCCACGGATGACTCTATATATGCCACGACAATCCCAGCCGGATCGAGTCCTTAATCAGACGGTCAAGTGGACGTCCTGGGGAACTTGTAACATAGTTGTATAGAATACTAGCCGTAGAGCCAGGGCAGAGTGTGCATAGGAGAGAGAGAGAGAGAGAGAGAGAGATGGCGTGGCCTAGCCCCTATCGAACACCTGTACGATAACAGGCCACGAGATGGACTAAGCTGCCCCGAGCATCCCATCCGCAGCTCAACTCATAGCCGGACTGTACAAATAATCGAACAAATTACCGCTCAACCAAAACCCCGAAAATCCTGGACACAAAACCAGGTCCGTCTCAAAGCAGCCTACTTCATATACCCGACCAAAGTAATAAGGTGGAGCAAAGTCCCAAAAGTCCCCCAGTCCCACCAGCCCCCCAGCTTCCCGATCAATTTCAATCCCCTCCCCCCTCGGCAACCCCAACAAACATCCCCCTCTGCCGTCCAACACACGCAGGATCCGCATACCCATGAAAAGCGATCCTCCTCCCTTTCTCAGCAAAACTTGCACTTCCCGGTCCGGTCTACCACCCCCCAAAAAAGCCTCAAAGTCAGCATAAGCACACAACCCTTACATGCACTGAGGAAAGGGGCCAAGGTACAGGCCAGGATTCGTACTAACCAACCCCATATCACCCGTCCCGAGCCACGGTCTCCCTGTTAGCCTTAACAAAAGCCCCCGTCAAACTACTCGCGATGGCATACCGGAGGGCATAACTCCCATCCGTATAAGCGCCCGTGGAATAAGCCAGCACGAACCTCTCATCCTTCGTCCGAAACATCCCCGGCGCCTCGACTAAATTCTCCCCTGCATCGTTCGTGAGAATCTGCACCGGCTCGCCGATCTTGCTCACGCCATCGTCAGGGGAGATTTGCTGGAGTAGTATAGGTGTTGGGCCTTGGATACTATTCCCGTCGATTTTGTAGAGGATGTAGTCCTTCCCCGACGACGCGTCGTGGAAGTATGCGGGATCGATCGCCCCACCCTGCTCTACAGGGCAAATCCAGGGGTCGGTGGTAGGAGGAGTCGGGATGTACGGACCTGTAACGAGTGGGGATGTGGCGGTGCCTATGCCGTGAAAACTGTCTCCCCCATTCGCATTAATTCATCAGCGATCGGGATACCCGGGTCTAGGCAGCCATGTGATGTGGACAGGTAATGGGTACTTGAAACTTACCGACCACCGGTCCCAGCTTTCGTCGCGGAGTAATATAACACAAACACCCCCTCCCCATCCCCTCCCCTCCGAAACACACTCGGTGCCCAAACCGCCGAACTCGTCGCACTCGTCCCATCGACCCATGGCGCCAGCTTTCCATCCAGTGCATCTTGGCTTGTGAGCGTCCAACGCCTCAAAAGTCCGGCGAAGTGGCGATCTGGACCCTCACGCCAGTGTAATTATAGGCCGATTGGGAGGCGAAAGCATACCACATGCCATCGACCTGTATGATTGAAGGCTCGGGGAAATCTGTTGAGATGACGGGATGCCATGGGCTTGTGTTCGAGGCGGTGGCAGCCAGATGAAAGAAGAAGAGGAGGGCGAAGGACTGGAAAAAGTGGGGCGGGCGGTACATTGTTTGTACCCTGTGGAGACGTGAGGTAGATTGTGTGATGACTGGGGGAGTAAGGACGGACAGAGGGAGAGGGGTTATGGGTTTCTCTTTGAGATGTTGTATCGTGATCTATACTTCTTGCGCGAATCTGAATACCGCGAGTCCTTTGCTGGCAAGGAGTAAGGCATGTGCTCGTAGCATATGTTCCCTTCTGTCTCGTCATGAGTCGTCAGCGTGGAGAGCATGAGCGGGACGGCGATGCACATGTGGAGAGTATGGCCCAACCCGTATCTTGTGACACTAATAGCGGATGCTGTCAGCGATGCTCTAATGTCTAATGACTCTCAACTATCATCCTCCTTCTTCCTAACAGCCTTCACACCGCCCTGCACAATCTCAAACTCAGTACTACTCGCCGCACTCTGCGAGCTAAACACAATCTTCAACGTCCGTTTCCAACCAGAAACATTCGACTCCTCGCCAGGCTTATATGCCTTCATCTCGTATTGCGGCTCTTTTAGCAGAGCGATCCTGGTTGCGAGTTGATTCGTCCAGGCGAGACCAAGACTGGGTGTCTTGGGGTTGGAGACATTTGCGTCGTCGCCCCAGCCGGTGAAGAAGCGCTGTTGGTGGTCTAGAGCCAGGGGGTCGTCGGTCGTGAGTAGAGATTGCGGCGCGGTGGGTGTTTGAGATGTCACGTGCTGGGACATGGTGCCAGTCATTGGCACAGCTTGTGGTGGCGAAGCAGGACGGGAACGTTGTGTTTGCTGGCTGATGGGTACTTGTCCTGGCGGTTCGAACGCGAAGCGGTCCGAGACTTGGTTGGCTACCACTACTGCGATACCATGAATTCGTGCCAGATCCCGCAGAAGTTTGCCAAGTTGTGTGACTTGGTTGCTGCGCTTGATGAAGGATTCTGCTGCTGTCTTTCGCACGTTGCCCTTGTCGAATTCTGGTCGGTAGTTCGCGGCTATGCTGTCGATGATGAGAAGACCGACATCGTGTCTTTTGATGGCAACCGGGACTTGGTAGCGGAGAATGTGATCTTGAGCTTCCAGGTCGTGTATGTGAGTGCTCTGAACTCGATTCAAGGATGGCCGCTGATCGGGTGACAGATCCTGTATCTTTGAGTTGGTTTGCAAGATCTGTGATAGTCGTGGTGTCTGCAAAGGTGCTTCCGTGGAGATGTAGAGTGCAGATTTGCCAGGTCCATGTGGAGGATGAAGTTGAACGGCGAGCAGCAGTGACAACAGAAATTGAGTCTTGCCAGCAGCGCTGATATGTGTTAGACGATTTCTTCTGGATTGGGACGCAGGTACACACCTCTCGCCCACCAACTCAGTGAGCTCACCGGCCGCAATACCGCCACCCAGCTTAGCATTTAGCTCGTCGTCGAGTGTGCTGATTGCATGACTCGTGTTTGCCACATTGTTCGCTGCCGCATCGTTATTCTTATCATCAGCTTGAGTCATATGAAGCGTCAAGCTAGCCTGCAGTCCCTCCAGCAGCGCCGTACAAAGTTTCTTGACCCCATGAGGTGGGACTTGCGCTCTCTTCGCAATATCAAAAGCATCGAGTGTCAGCAGATCCGCGGTCGAGATTGAAGCCTTTTCCAACGAAGGCAGAATGTGAGAGTAAGGCTGAGTGTCAAAGTCAGGGAGGACGGTCAGCAGGTTTGTCATCTGGATCGAGCATCATCGCTGTCGTGGCGATGTGCTGAGGTCTACTTGTTGCACACGCGAGCTTGTGGCGTGCAGGCGCGTTCGAGGCCGCCGAGGGAAGTCGCGCTAGTAGTGTCGCCGGGTCCGTGCGAGAACACTTGACCTCGACGCCTCACCACACTCCTCAAGCTTCATCACGCCACGCCAAGTATTCGCTGAGCCTCTAGCTTGGCCGGAACATATGTAGGAAGCCCTGTATGTCCTTCATGCCCCGCGCGGAGATCTGGTGTCCTCTTCCCTTCACAGACCTTGACCACAGGCCGCATGGGTAACACTACATCATACCAGTATCCACCGTTACAGCCCGGGGAGTTCAGACTACTACGCCTTTGCCATACATGGACCACCAACAAGCTTAGCCTGGAGATCAAGACATATCAACTATCCTCATGTCCGCAATATGTCGCTCTGTCTTATACCTGGGGTGAAGCCACCGAAACCGAAGACATCTTCTTGAACAACAGAACTTCCTCCATCCGCAGGAATCTTGCAGCCTTTCTCCGGCAGGTCCGATGCGATGCCGATGCTCCAGGTCGTGAGCTGTTCTACGATGCCAATCTCGTTGAAATCGAAAGTGATGTACGGTACATGTTACCAAACTTTGACACCCTGGGACACTTCTGGGTAGATGCATTGTGTATCAACCAGTCAAACAACCCTGAACGTAATGATCAGGTTGCCATGATGAAGCGCATCTACGAAGGCGCGGAAAAGGTCGTCATCTGGCTAGGTCCTGCAGCTGACGATGGTGACGAGGCTATAAAACTGATCGAGAAGCTTGCTCAACAAGAGCGTAAGCATAAATCTACAGCAACATCACCCATTGATCCCGCTTGCTGGGAGATCATACAAGCCCATCCATCGGCAGTCGAAGCCGTGGGCAAGCTCTTCCACAGAGATTGGTGGTCCAGAGCATGGATCCTACAAGAAGCGACTGCTCCTACAAAATCCCGGGTCTCTGTCTGGTGTGGCTCAAGTAGAATCGACTGGTTCTACATCTCACTAGCAAATCAAACCTTCTACGAGGCGATGTTACAGAAGGACTTCACACGTTTCTCACACATAGGGAATGGCATTATCATGTGGCTGGCAGGTACAAAGTTCGCGAGGCATGATCCTGCTAAACACTATCCACTCGACATCCTGCACCTCCTGCGCTTTGCAAAGTCCTTCGATTGCACAGATCCACGAGACAAGCTATACTCTGTACAGTCCCTTGCATTCGACGGCCAACACGAGGACATCAAGCCCCGTTATGAGGCACCTGTCGAAGAAGTCTACGAAGCTTTTGTCCGGCATATGATCCGCAAGCACGATACTCTGGACATCCTTGGGTTCTGTGGTGTGGAGAAGTACCTACACACCCCTTCGTGGGTCCCCGACTTTTCGAACTCGAACATACAGGACCCCTTTCCCACCCGAAGCTGGATCGAGCAGCAGCATGGAACTGTCTATAATGCCTGTGCTAGTCGGCCTGCGAATGCTCACTTCAACGAGGATCATCACATTCTCAGCGTTTTCGGCATAGAGTTTGATGAGATAGTCGAAGTCTCTGAGCCACGCATGTGGTATGAGCCCGGCGATGAGGAGCAGGATGCACAGCTAGCATGTGCCTGGGCTAGATTTGCTTGCTCAAACACCTCACACGATACGCCGTACCCGTCCGGTGGCACCGCTGCCGAAGCGCTCTGCCATACTATCTGCATAGACATCTCAGACGACGACGAAGAATTCGCTGATCGTGGCTACAGCGCAGAATGGTCGGTCGAGGAGATGCTTATTGGAGAATCTAGCGATGTGCCATCCTCCATCTTCACGAGTAAGATGATCGTGCACAAGACTACCATGCGCCGTAGACTATTTCGAACCAAGAGAGATTACTTGGGAATCGCTTCGATGCATGTTGATATTGGCAACCGTGTTTGTGTTCTAGATGGTGGCCGGGTACCTTTCGTGCTTGTGCAGAGAGATGATGGGTACTGGTCGTTGTTAAGTGAGTCTTATGTTCATGGTATCATGGATGGCGAGGCGTGGGAGGTTAAAGGTGTGATATGTGAGCAGGTCGATATTATGTGACTCGTTAAGCGCTCACTTCGTGGCCTCACTGAGGCGAACTTTTCAGAAAGGTAGGAACGGCCTGCTAAAAGCGCGCGTACTTGACTCCACCCTCCTTTGGTCACTTCACATCCTCACAGCTAAAGCGCAAACACCACCTTGCTCTCGTCAACCACACTAAGAGCTTACTGACTCAGTTCGACACAAGGCCCCTGTATTGACAATCATGAAGCACGACGACGGCCTCGAGGTCATCCTCAAGCGAAGATGACACTGTCATCCAGGAACACTACATCGAGATTCCTCGGGACCCCGAGTCGAAAGTCTACGTGCACTCGACTCGGGTCTCTGTCCCTGCTGGAGAGCATTTTGCAGTGGTCATCAGAATTGCTCCTCCCTTCAAGACATACAGTTCCAGCGGCATTGGGGTCACAATCTCCTTTGGCCATGGTCAATCCCAGCACCAGCAAACCACTTGGATTGGCAAGAACACGCTGAAGGCCGCCGATAATTTGTGTATAGAGTCGTTCTACCTCTGGGCCCGCTCAGTACCACCACTCGCCTTTGCCATCATGCAGAAGAGGAGAGATTGTCCTCTTACAAGACTCGCCTTCACCATGCCTGCACCATGTGGTAGGTATCTCGGAACTAAGCTTTTCGCTCGATGCAACATCCTGACATTCCATAGGCAGTAACATCGCTCGTGATAGAGTAGCCACCGACAGCGATTCGGCAATTTCGAGCGACGTCTCGATCATTGTCACTCGCGGTCACCTGGTAGTGGACCCAATCGGCGCCAATTTCGCAAAGGGGCGCCACAATCCTTGGTCTGAAATACTGAGGGATCGTGCTCTCACAGAAGCACCGTTCCATCACTCGTGAGTCTGGCTGCCGCCTCGATTGTATTTCGTACATGCATGCTTACGACCAGGTTGCAGATGGACTCTAGACGACAGGGAGTCCTTCGAATCTGTCGCCAGAGACTGGTCAAGCCCTTTGGGTGGTGCTAATGGTCGGCCGTACATCTTTCACTTCACTAACACTGGTAAGTCGATTGCCATCCCGATATAGACGCGAAAGTTGCTCTGCACAATGTCCCGGAGGTCAAGTTCTCCCATCAGTACAACGCTCACTGACCCTGGACACTATTCAGGAAGCTTAAACGACCCAGAGCTACGGGCTTCCCACGGTGTTCACGGCACGGCACATCAGGCTACGGTGCTAAGAGGTACAATACGATATCGCGACAAGGAGAACGAGTGTGTTCGAGAGCAGGACGGAAACGTCGAATCCGAGGAGGAGAGCTTCCCGCCATTGGTCGCCGAAGACAATGGTATCGAAAGGGACCACGGTCTTGAAGAGGATGCGACAAGTTTTCAACCCGTGAAAGTTGATGCAAGCGCGGACAACGAGCGGGAAGATGTTGATGCAGACGATACTGCTCAGTACGAGAGCAAAGACCATGAAAGCGAGAGGGTTGTTGACGCTGTCGACGCTCTAGGAATTCATATCCGTAAGCGCCGAGCCGGTCATACTGATGAACATGACGGAACACAAGCCTCGCGAGCCGGTCACAAACGGGCAACGACGAAGCGTTATGAGCGTGACAGTGGTTTGGAGGGTGACTTCGGGTAAGGAGGCCCAATAAAGATGGATGGTCCATCAGGAGACAATGCAAGCGATGGCTCGCCACTAACAGCCCTGCAAGGCGTCGTTCAGCCAAGCGATAGCGGAGCAGCTACCACAGGGCAAGCAACAGACTTACCACAAGATCACTGGAAGAAATCAGATCTAGCTCCGCACGACTGGTATCACCGCCAGAGTGTACTGAGAGGAACGAAGACATCGGGCACCTCGAGCAGCATACAACAGGTCACATGCCCATGGCTCAGCCCACTGACAACCACAGCACTGCGGCGACGAACGACGACAAGGATGAGGAAGATGAGGAGTGTCTGAGACTCGAGTTGAAAGAGGTGCAGCTCAGATTGGAGCTGCGAAATATCGAGAGAAGGAAGAAGAGGGAGGCACGGCCTACCGTTTGAGAGTCAAGAATGCGAGATGAGGGCTGCGGTTTGCTTACATTCATACTTGGTGTCTAGTCTGCAGCATGCACGAACAAGGTAACTGAGCCTTGGCTTCCATTGATCTGGCAAAAGTCACAGTATCCATAAAGTAATTCAGTGGAGCTCGCGATCCGGTTTGATGGACAGTCTCTAGATTTCTGATCGTCACATCTAATCATAGTTTTATGGATGCATAATATACACATCACAAGATATCAGAAGCCCTTTCAGCCAGAGAAACAATCAATGCACTCGGGTTTGCCGAGCAGATCTCCGGGATGATGGAAGCATCCAGAACATAGATGTTGTTCGTACCGTAGACTTTCAGGTTTGGATCGACGACAGCAGTGCCACCATTCAAGCCAGAATCGGTACCCATCTTGCAGCTACTGACCCAGTGGTTCGCCGAGCGCGAACCGGTCGTCACAGGGTACTGAGCATAAAAGGCAGAGACATTGGTGCCGGATGCAGGGTACTGCATGTTGATGCTGCTATCCTGTTTCATGAGGCCAAGCATGATGGACATACTCGTCTGCGCGGCTGCGAGATCGTTGGGGTCCTGGTAGTAAGGGACTGTCGAGACGACCATGTTGAGAGCCGAATTGATAGTTGTACGACCACGGGAAGTAGATCCGCGGCCCAGGTACTGCGTCTGGGTGATGCCGTTGCTGGAGCTAATGCCGTGCGATGGACCATTGCGGACTTGCCATTGGATCTGGCGGGCGATGCCGTCGGGGCCAGTGACTTCGTGCCATGCGAAGATGGGAAAGACAGGCGCGGCTTCGGTGAGGATACCGGCACGCTTCGAAAGGTAGGCCTGAGTGTCTGAGGCAATCGGGTTAGTGAAAGCGGCGTTGAAATCGTAGTTCTGGATAGAGGACTGGGTCCAGACAATATCGGTCTGAGCGTGGTCCTGAAGACTTTTGCCTACTGGGAGGTCAATCCATTGGCTAGAAGCGATCATGGCGCCTGGCTCAGCGGCCTGGACAATCGTCAATTGATCAGCAGGACCAATGCCAGAGCGGAAGAGGACCTTGGGGGAACCGAAAGCGCCGGCGCTTAGGATGACTTTGCCCCCAGCGTTCAGAGTGATGTTGCCACAGTAGGCGCCTTCAACCGTGACACCGGTCGCGGTACCACCAGTTCGGGTGATTCGGTCGACCATCGTGTTTAGGATGAGCTTGAAGTTGTTCTTGGCCATGGCATCAACAAGGTATGTAGCCATCGGTCCACCACGCTCGCCATGAGAGAACATGTTCTCAGCATGGCCGTAGTTCAAGGTCTTCTGTTCAGGTGTGTTGCCAGCAGTAACAGCACCCCAGCCATTTCGGCCGAGAATGTTTCCAAGAACACCGTACGCCTGCATCTGGTAAAACTGGCCGTCAGAGGAGGGGACTTCAGTAAACGGAATCTTGGCGAAGACGCGGCTAATCGCGGCCTGCATATCACTGGACTGCCATCCTGAAGGGAAAGCGGCAAAGTCCTTGGGGTGTGGCTTCCACCACAGACCAGCGTTCACAGCTGTGCCTCCGCCCAGAATGCAGCCGGCCAAGACTCCGTAATCGGGACAAGTAATGCCGGCCGAGCTGACGTAGATCTCATTGCACAACCCGGGGACGTCGAATTGAGTCAGGTTCGTGCCCTGAAGCCAGGTCGGTTTCAGTTGACCACCTTGGCGACCAGATGAAGGGTTGCCGCGCTCGATGAGGAGAACTTTCTTGCCAGTGTTAGTAAGCTTCGCAGCAAGCGGGATGCCACCCGCACCACCACCAACGACGACGTAGTCCCATGAGCCCAAGCTCGAAGCCGCAGTACCGCTTGTGCACGATGGTGCAACGGCAGCCGCAGAAGATGTGGCCGAAGCAGAGGATGTTGGCTTCGAGCTTGACGTGACAGAGCCTGTGGGCTTGCTCGAAGTGGCAGTGGTGGTGACAGAAGTAGGACTTGCTCCGAGTGCCGTCCACGATGTGTATGCACTGTTGCGAGCCGAGTCTACCGCGACACCAAAGAGACCGTCTGCGTAATGCTGAACGATACCAGCTGTCTGGACGCTGGGGTTCGTCGGAGTTGTTGTGGCCTCGGCCCAGCCCACAATCTGGTTGCCGCCCGCTTTCGGAAGCTGGCTGCCAGCAACTTGTCCAGTCTGGTTCCATGTCCAGCAATGTTCGCAACGATAGGTCAACTCGTAGAACGTGCTATTTACAGAGCTTGAGAGCACGGTGAGCTTGGCATTGCCTGTGTACTCCGCGGGTGTGAGATAGTCCGTAGCATAGCGGAAACTGGATTTTGTCAGCGGCATACACCTTACTCAGGACTGTAGGTGGAGACTTACTCAGTCATAACCTTGTTGCCATTTAACCACGTCAAGAGCAATAGGTTATCGGGCATTTGACTCGCATGAGCAATACCCATCCAGGTTCCAGAGCTCGGGATTGGCACAGCCAAGTGTCCGATGTACTCATCGTTGAGGGACGTGGCCGAAGCAGGTGGGAGTGCGAGGCCGAATTGTGCATTGGGGATAGAAGCGGCAACACGAGTACCGAAGTTCGCCTGCCAGAAAGTAATGCCTTGCGAGTTCTTGTAGGAAGAGAAGGTCTGTCCAAACGCCAAGGACGCACCGCCCAGCAGCGCAATAGCAAACTTCATGATGAACGAGAGTGTGGAACAGGAACGTCACTTCTGGAATACCACCTACTTTACATGCGCTGGGTCGGCCATGCTTCTATACTTCCACATCGTGGCGTATGAGCTGCGACAGCCAGGCTCTGATAATACTGCCATTTCCGCGAGCCGTCCACGCGACGAAACATGGCTGCTAGTGCACGCGATGGTCCGTAGTATTGGGCTGTTCGAGCATGGCCAGCGGGACTGCCGTGTGACCTCCTGCAACAGACAATATGGTTAATGTGGTAAGTCTGGGCCACGGCGTTTGGGTAATTATATGAGAGTGTCACGTTCGGTCGCAGTGCATTAGCAAAACAGTAGCCGTAAAGCCTGCCAAGGCCAGATTTGACGATGCCGTCCTCGTGATCCCCACCAGCTGGTCTACGGTCCGTGTCTCCAAAGTATTAGACTATTGCATGGTAACATAGTTCTGTATCTTATTTGATGATGCTGATCATCAGATGTGCCGAAAACTTGTCAAGGGTAGCTTCTATGGAGTCGCTGCAAGCAGGTGATACCCAGGGCTAGAAGTCCAGATTCCCAGATGCGTTGGTGGCAGCGGCAGGAGATGCGCCAAGCCAATCTATATGGCGCAAATGTCTCTGGTGCGAAGGCTTGAGCCTGAAAGTAGCACTGGCGAAACACTTCGGATAATATCAAGGGCTTGTTCCACGAGTGCAACTTCAATCTCATTGTGCAGGAAGCCTGGCAGCCGCAAACATAACAGCACAAATCCGTCCCGTCGTTGCAAGATCCCTTCGTTCATCGCGTCCAGGATGGGACTTCGATCAATTTAGTGCAGTTTTGTCGAGTCAGACCAGATGCCAGATTACCGCTGCTCTCCCGGCCATGTCGACGAAGTGCACAAGGGCAGCTTGACTATTGATGTCTATCTCCACGATGGTGAGCCACAAATAAAGCCGTTTCTGGGTGTCACCACCAACAACATCGATGAATTGCGCTGAAATTCCGCAATGCGGCAGACGATTACACAAGCATGCCGGACATCAAGAAGTGCCCACATATTGCCGGGCACCACTAATCTTAGCTCATCTTCAACGACGAAGATGTTACACCGTGATCTTCTGCCAGAGAACACGGCATGTCGACGAGAGTAGGAGCGAGATTTAGCACTTCGAGGAGGGCAAGATGACCAGGCTCAAAGAAGACAAGATGGCGACCAATGCTTCGCCAGCAGAGAAAGACATTGCAACTGAGTCCGCTACGATGGAGCCTCTCGAGTCTGTACAGACCAACAATGTCCGACCAGCATGCTTCAAGTCGACCGCGCAAGAGGTGCTGTTCGTCCTGACGGCCACTATGGCCATCGCCATGCAAGCCATGCTAGCCGGATCTGTGACCGTCACATCTTCCTTCATCGGAGCCGATCTTAAGATGACTACGGCAGAAGTCACATGGATATCCTCAGCATCTTCGCTGTCGAGTGGAGCGTTCTTACTCTTTTTCGGCAAAGTTGCAGACTTGTTTGGTGTGTTGAGCTTAGTGTGTCTGGAGATGGTCCTCAGCTAACACAAACGCAGGCCGCAAGAGTATGTTCGTCGGCTCACTCTTCCTCTTCGCCGTCTTTGCCCTGGTGGCTGGTTTCGCAAAGTCTGCTATTGCAATTGATGTTCTTAACGGTATCATGGGTCTCATGTCTGCGAGTGGCGTGCCACCAGCCGTCGGCATTCTGGGAGTCGTCTACGAGAAACCGTCGAAGCGCAAGAATTACGCCTTCGCCTGTTTTTCAGCTGGCAACCCTCTTGGCTTCGTCTTCGGGACAATTTTAGGCGGTCTGGCCACCAACCTTTTCGGCTGGCGAGCCTCATTCTGGCTGATAGCCATCATATTTGGTGTCTTCACGGTTGTGGGTATATTCACGATACCACGAGACTTTACTGCTAAAGAACCTATGAATATGGAAACGCTCAAGAAATTCGACCTGCTCGGAACTGTCTTCATCATCTTCGGCATTGGCATGTTCTCCGCGGCACTCAGTCTAGGCGAGACTGCTCCACAAGGCTGGAAGACTGGCTACGTCCTAGCGCTACTGATCGTTGGCCTGGCCTTGATGGTCGGCTTCGTGTTCTGGGATCTCTGGTACAAGTATCCGCTAGTTCCCATGAACATTTGGAAGGACCGCAACTTTTCTCTGTCCTTATGCATCCTACAGCTCGGCTTTATGGCCTTCATCCCTGGGAACTTCTTTATGGCCCTCTACTTTCAGCAAGTCTGGCATCTGTCTGCATTAGCGGTAGCGGTGCGGCTGTTGCCCATGGCCATCATGGGCATGATCGTGAATGTTGTCGCAGGCTTGATCCTGCACAAGATTTCGAACAAGCTTCTGATGCTGATCGCCACTTTGGCGTACTCTACTGCCTTTCTACTTATGGCTTTCAATCGACATGATAGCAGCTATTGGGCCTTCTGCTTTCCCGGATTCATTCTTATGGTAGTCGGCGCGGACCTTGAATTCAATGTCGCAAACATGTATGTGATGTCGTCGATGCCGGCACACCAACAATCAGTTGCCGGTGGTATATTCCAAACAGTCGCCAAGCTATGTACGACCCTGGGCTTTGGCATCTCCACAGCAGTGTTCAACGCGGTCCAGCAGAACCCGCGGATGGCGTCCTACTGGGACAGGACTACTCAGCCTTATGCGGCGACTATGTGGGCAGCTGTAGCGAGCTCGTTGCTTGCATTATGCCTTATACCGTTTTTGACGCTGGGTACTCAGGGCGGCAAGCAAGAGGCCAAGGTATCTGTCACGACCAGCGATGCGGGAGAAACACGCCAAATATGTTTGCATCACGAAGACGAGAAGAGGCTTGAGGGCAATGTATCGATAGCGCAAGCAGGACCAGCACAAGCTGCGATGTAGAGGCTTAACGATTCTGAGTGAGCATTGACACTGGTGTTCGTGGCGCGATGCTGTCTGTTTATGGCTTAGCCTGTGGCCCTTGCTCGTGACGATGCGGCACCACTATACCCCGAATCGCTCCAAGTCAGTAGTAACAACGCACGTACAAGGTGATAAACCAGCACTTGAGCTGCGTGGAGAGTGGACGTGCCTACACTGGCCGCGTTGGAGCACTGCGGCCGTAGTTAACATCCGAAATGCCCGATCACAGTTCACCAACAAGCTGACTGCGAGTACCTGGTACCTTTCATATGCTCGGTGTGATGTGCCAGCTTCATGCGGAGCCTCTTTGGGCCGCGTTCCATGCAGGTGTTGCGCATTATTATTCAGCAAAAGCAATGTACAGCACAGCTAGCGAAGGGGGCCGATAGATGTATGGATGCGCCATAAGTATTCGTGCTCTCCCATCAAGCTCTAACGCCTCTGCTTTGACACATCCACCCCTCGATACGTTAATATCACCGACCATCCGCAAGCTGACATCTCATTACCGCGCCAGCAACATCATGGCAGACAAAGCGCCAGCCGAGCGACGAGTGTGGCAATATGCGAAGACGACAGGTGGGATGGAGAATAATCTACAACTGGTCACGACACCCATGCCTACTCCCAAGCCAACAGAACATCTCATCAGAGTTCTCGCGGGCTCTCTCAACGCAGTCGACTACAAGATCGCCGAGTTATCTGTCATTGGTGGCTTCGCTGTCCCTAAGCCTGCCACACCCGGTATGGACATCGCGGGCGAGATCGTCGTGGCGGCGGATGGGTCCGATCTCAAGCCGGGAGACCTTGTCTTTGGCGCTGCTGGTGGCTCGTTGGCAGCTATGGGAGGACTGGCTGAGTACATCACCACGCCCAAGGAGCGTGTGACGGCCATTCCAAAAGGTGTCTCAACGATTGATGCGGCTTCTCTGCCGACAGGGGCGGTAACCTCGTATCAAGCAATTGTGCCGCATGTGAAACCTGGTAGCCACGTCCTTTTCAACGGAGGATCTGGAGGAGTCGGCGTCATAGCCATACAAGTTGCCAAGATCAAGGGCTGTCATGTCACAGTCACCTGTTCGTCTCGCAACATCGATCTCTGCAAGAAGCTTGGCGCGGATGTGGTCGTCGATTACACCAAAGGATGCGTCATGGACCAGCTAGCTGCGCTGGACTACAAGTTCGATCTGATCGTAGATGGAGTAGGCAACGACAAAGCACTCTACTGGGCGTCCAATAAATACACGAATCGTGGCGCAAAATTCGTCTACATTGCGTTCGCCCCGCCCGGTGATGTGGCATTTGTGGCCGCCGCCAACACTACCCCATCATTCTTAGGTGGGCCAAGGGCGAAGTTGACAGTGCTCTTCGCCGACTTCAGCAACGAGCAGATGAGTGAAGTCATTGGCTGGATGGCAGAGGGGAAGCTGAAGTCATGCATCGATTCTAGATGGCCAATGAATGATGTACCGAACGCTTATAAGAAGCTGAAGTCCCAGAGAGTCAGTGGCAAGGTCGTGATCGAGGTGGCGGCGGCATAAGCACGATGGTCTTTGCGGTTCAGTGTTGCAGATATTAAGCGTTCCAGATAATCAGAGGAGTTTCAGTGGCTAGCTGAGATCATGAGATATTCATCACCGGTACCAATCTAACGATGACACGAGTTGATTGCTGGAAGTACGAGACTGGAAACTTCAGGACGGTCACGCTCCTATTCTCTGCAATGGTACTAGCTATCAATAAACAGGTATGATGCACAACGCAGCGAACCCTCGACATGATCTCACATCACAGCACATTTCTTCTCCTTGCCAGTGTAATCATTAGGCACAAGAGCATAAAGAAGCCTCATCCTCACATCCTTGCCCTTTGCCATCCCACTGATCTCTCGCCCGGCAGCCCAGCTTTCCTGGTCCGAGATGCGTACCTCCTGCTTCTTCCCAAGAAGTAGCAGACTACTGCGCATGCACTCCGTGCCCTTGGAGTAGCCGTCCAGATCAGGACCGCGCTCCATCAGCTTGTCGATCAATTGGTCGTAGGTGGTGCTATCGGCGATCGTAATGGCGTCGCTCCTGGTCCTGAGATGTTTTCCCTCTTCGAGTGATTTCCTATCGCGGTTGACGAACCCTGTCGGCGCACAGCGCACGAACTCGACGAGCTGGGATGTTGTCTTCTCGGGCATAGGTTTAGTTTCATCATCAGGACTGTATGCTGGTGCTGCTTCTTGCGGATGTGGTTTCGCATCCTCCATGTTTGAGCTTTTGAGTGTCAGTTCATGATTCACGGTTTACGGGCGAACACTGAGACGGCGATGAAAGTTACATCTTCGCCGAGAGAATCAAGCTTTCGTGATGAACTGCGTGGGATGCAGTGCATCAACATCATAACGGCCCCAGGCGAGCATGCATCATGCACCACGTGTCCAAACCTGCCTTGCCAACTTCATGTCTCGCGCCTTCACATAACCTCACACCTCTTGCGTGCTGGTGCAACAGCGAATGTCAATGTAATCTCGACATCTTGCCCTTCACCCATACCAAAAACCTTGCGTGCCGCATCGAAGCTTTCCTGGTCGCGGACCTGCACCAACCGCTCCCCAGAGGTAAGCGTAATTGCACCTTTCATGTCTTTGACATCCGCCTTGATGTTGAAGTGGCAAGTGACCTTCTGAACGAGCATAGTGTTCAAAGCGGTGAAGGTGATGTCCTCCGAGATCGTGACGGCGTCGCTGACATCGTGGATCTGGCGACCTGTCCAAGCCCCATTGGCGGGACACCCATGGCGACTACCTGGCTTGCAGTGGACGAAATGGATGATGTGGGAGGTGGTGTTTTCGCTTGACGACGCTCTGGTCATGTTCTCGACGAGGTGATTGCCAAGTGAGACGCTTTTGTCGTCGGTCGAAGCAGCCTTTATGCTGTAGGCTGGAGCAGGATCTTCTTCCATCATAGCTATGGGTGGTAGTCGTTCATGCGAATTGAGAGCTTCTTCGATGTGATGTTTTCGCTGAGGTGTAAGTGTATGAACAAGCTCGACATAAGCAGTCGGTGATTTGTTAGCCCCGAAGCAAAAACTGTCACATGCAAGTTGGTGTCCGTGTGACCATCCAAGCATTCACTTCTTCCTTCACTGCTGTCTAGAAACCAGTGACGCAGGTTTTGTTTACGTGATAGGACACTTCACACCGCAGCCAGCTGCAAACTATGTATGAAACCGTAGCTTAAGAGCATGACTTCACCCTCAACGGCCTGCATTGAGGCTGCCGCTTGAGTCCTGCCTAGACTCGATCCATCCTTTGACAATGCTCAGCCACGATATCACACCACTGAACTGGGCGATCGATTCCTGACTTCAAATAAGAGATTGAGTCACATCACCACGCACTTCGCGCCTTTGGCTCCACGACCTTTGGTCTCCACCTCCTTCTTGAAGTACACCACCTTGACCTCCCACCTCCCGTTGCCAAGCATGATCATAGCATTTCCCCAATTCTCAGCATCGAGCGAGACACCTTTGCCCAGCTCTCCCCTACCGCCAGCGTGAAAGAGGCACTCATGTCGCCAGAGCGTCCTGATATCGACCGCTGAGTGCTCCGGCTTCTCAATCGGTGACTTGGACTTCGCGGGCGCAGGATTGAGAATACGAGCAGCTTCAGGTTCGATCACGCCCATGGCCGAAATGTAGTCCGTGTCCGTTGCAAAACTGATGATAGTCTTTCGCTCCAGTAACGTGTGGTCGGAAGCCAGTAAGTCCGTGTTCGCATCGATCGTGACGCCCTCGCAGAAACTGATTGTGCAGACGAAGTTAACTTCTTCTACCACAAGCGGAGGCGCAGGAAGCGGCTTGTACGTATATAACGTCGCACTACGCTCTCGCTCCCGTCTGACGAAACCGATATCTGCGTTTGTCTTGAGAAAACCCGAGCTGGTCGGTCGATGGTAGACAAGCTGGGGAGACACTCTGACTGCAAGCGAGCAGGTATGTTCCTCGAAGGAGAATGTTTTGTGTAGCGCGCTCTCTTTGACCTGCATGGGTAGTGTAGCTGCCGCCTCGGCAACCCTAGTATCCGGAAAAGGTATGTCGGGTGGGGATTTCTGGATGTCCATATTGATGAGGTGCTCCAAGTTGTATTGCGTTGGACGAAAGAATTGTCGAGGCAGCCACGAGGAGGAGATGTATTGGGACGTATGCAGTGTTCATCAATGGTGCGTGGTTTCCATCAGATAGAAGGTATGGAAGGGCGTGAAGCTTGCAGGTGAAGTGGATTGACTAAGTGAAGTGAGCTCTCACCCATCCTCAGACCTCCCTCAAACTACCCTCGATGCGAAGATCATCACAGCTATGATCACCCGGGAAAGCCGTCGAAGGTCCCATTACGCTGGTCCATTTGCCATTGTCATCCGCCAATACGTCAACCAGATGCACCGTCCAAGCCCAGCCGCCCTGCCTAGCAGCCTCAAGCAGGACCCCGAGATTCGCCTGCGCCGCTTCACCAACGAGTCCCTCGCAATGTGCTTCGAAGCAGCAGCGCCAGCGATGCCAATTTTTTATGTCAAGTCCGAATAGTGCGGAGGCCAGAGTGGTCAACTGATTCAGGATCTGCGAATAGTTGTGCCATGGTGACATGAGTACTGCAGCGTTCTGGCGAGCTAAGGCGTGGTGGTATGGATTACTGTCTAGTGAGCCGAGGGCATAGAGCTCGCGCGGCTCGAGGAGGATGATGGTGATGCTCATTGGAAAGTTATCCGGAAATCGCCTTGGGTGGTCGTCATGCGCAAGGTCTGAGAGTGGGATGAAGGCACTCATAGCGGTTATGTTGTTGACATTAGTCATGTGGAGTGTGATGGTGATGAAGAAGGCCCATATGGCGGTCCGGCTTCAACCATGAAGCTGTGCATATTCACTGACTTGCGGATCCTCAGCTCATCCTCCCCCTCCTCCCGCTTCTACCTCTTGCCTGTGCATGACCACCTCTCTGCATCTGCAGAACAGGACTACTACCCACAAAGGAGCCCTCCAACACCGAGCTCGACAAGTTCAGGCTTCCAGGACTTCTAGGCAAAGCATCCGCCGCACCAACCTGTGCTCGCATCCTCTCTTGTAACCCACCCATACTTTGCACCTGTGCCTGGAACTGCCGTCCTGATCGAGCAGACCTGCTATCGCGCTGCTGCACTCGAACCGAGCGTCGCGCACTCTGCATGGCGAAAGAGTCTTGCAATCCACTTTCCTCGTCGTCACTATCTTCGAGTTCAGTGTCTGTATGCTGATAACTGCCTGCTTCCGGGACGGAGTCGTCGAGGTCACGATCAATGCCCAGTTCCTCCTCCTCTCGTGCTGCACCCGTCAATTCTGCCACTTCCATCTCGACTGCTTCTCGTACGTCTTCATCATCCTCTACTTCTCCATCGTTTTCGACAAATTGACTGCTGCCTTCGACCATACTTTCCTCATTAAAGCTGACTTCAGCCTCTGCTTCAGCATCAGCGTCTGGAATGTCTTCGTCCAAATCGCGCTCCTCCTCTTCATCCTCTCCACCTTCTTCATCAGCTCTCTCAGCCCTCTCTCGAGCCTCCTCGACTTCCTGCCTCGCTTGTAGATCCCTCATATTCTGCTCCTGTCTTGCCTGCTCCTCCATTTCCCTACGCTCGACTTCTTCTTCGTGCATAGCCTGCAGTGTTTTGGGTACTCCTGGAGGACGAATCCAGCGATGGCCGAACATTTGTATGTCATACTTGCGAGACTTGATCGCGTTCTCGTCGGTGGTTAGTAGTGCGAGTGGTGAGTGGGTGTTGTGGGCTTTGCGTTCTTCATCTCGTCGTTGCTGGAGCTGACGCGCTGCTTGTGGGTTCTGAGCGGCATTGGCAGGTGGTGGAGAGTTTGGGCGGGGTCGGAAACGTGTAGGGAGGATGGGGGAAGAGTCGATGGTGGGTGGGATGAGTGGGAGGGAGAGCATGTTGTTGGTTTTGATAGTATTAAGTATTCAGAGTGAAGAGGATGCGAAGGAGCACAAGACTGATAAAAGCTCAAAACTGATAGAAGCTTGCAATGGTGTAAACAAAGGAGATGGGCTTAGCTGATGTATAGACTTCTGTCATCTGTATCGCAGCGCATGAGGGTCATGAATTTTGGCTTCCACAGTGTCCCATCTACACCTGCCAGACGAGGCTCAATGTGCAGCATACTAGGGAGGTGCAATACAGCGTTGTCCAGTCGTGCCTTCCTCGGTCAGAGTTGACTGAGTGAATGCTTCCTAGGGTCATCCCCTACCTCTCACAAGCAGCAGCCTCTTTTCTGTTACGGCGCGAGCCAAACTGACTCGATCAAGGGCTGCTCCTTACTACAGCGCTAGCACAGGCCACTCTGATTTTCGTATATCGATTTTGTGCTCCTTCGCGATCTTCCTCTTCCTTTTTCTCATACTTAGTCCGTTTCACCCAACCCCCCCCCCTCACTTTTTAAATACTTGCTAACAATTTTACAGCCTTGTTGTGAAGCGGCTGCTCACGAATAGCTTGCTTCTGACGGAGACTCCTGCATTGCACCGCGCGGCGAGTCCCTGTTACCAGTCTCCTTCGGGGGCCTGGACGGCGGTAAGTTCAATCGTCTCTATTCTTTGACTGCCATGACCATACTGATAAACCGTCTAGCAATTTTTGATGGTTCACACTGCTTCGGCACCTCTTTCACCAGTCCGCTCTAGCCTTCGTGGCTTGAGCCTGGAGAAGGTTTCTTGTTGTAGTTTGTTGTCGTTTCTTGCCTGTGGTTTCCGTCCGTGGTGCGATCTTGCCATATGTGCGCTGGGTGCGTGCGTGTTATACTGCAGACGCAGCCATGGATCGAAATCGAAGGTCAGGCCGATGCTAATACTGATCAGGCCTTGCAGCACCTCCAGTAGTGTCCAGCAGCATCACCATGGCTTCGCGAACCTGTACGACTGTACCATCAAGCTAGATGCTGCGTGGCTCCACGACCAAAGATGCTGGCTGCTCCAGGACGATCGACTACACGAGGAGCGGCTTCACACCCTGGCGTGTCTGAGGCCTCGCATCAGAGAGTAAAGAGGATACGAGTGTGATATATGGCATAGAGAAGAACGACTGAGGTCCACAAGGCATAAGGAAGGAATCGGGGACACGCTATAGCAGGCAGACGCGTGCGAAACGCAACCACAAGAAGCGGTAAGAGCAAGCCTCTTCGCTACAGTCACGATTGGCGGTCTATACGCTCTGCTGCTCAATAATATACCTCGCCGGCGAGAGGACGTGATGGACCGCTGATGGAGCAGCGTATCACAATTTGTTGTCGTGCGTATGATGGACCTGGTTGTTAGGCGTTGAGCTCATCAGAGAGTTACGCATGGAGCGCTGGTACATCGGGAGCAGTCTCTGTGAATGAGCACACAGCAGGTTCGATCGATAGCCACGGAGCGCATACGTAATTGTAAATGCACATTACGGGTCTTCAACTACGCGCAAGCGGTTCACAGCTAATTTCCCTCACTCTGAACAGCATGTCATGTCGCTGCCAGATCTGCTATCAGAGAAACACTGGGCTGGACTTGCGTGATATGGGTTTGGGTGGTGAGCTGTTATTCTCCTCGAGGCAGGAAATTTGAAGCATGATTTCGTCTACTGCTCACATGTGCGTTGTAACTGCACATGGACCCGCCTTGGCTTGCACAATGTTATGTCTAATTCGCGGAGTCCTTTGACATGAAGTAAATTCAGTAAGCAGGCGGACAACGAGATCCATCCGGGCATGAACAGAGTGATGAAGGTCGCTGGGCATAGCATGTTTCCTGCGCCTATAGGGCAGCTGCCAGCACATGCCCACACATTTTGCCTTCATGCGTGCGCATGCGCTTATGCAGGAACCCGGAGAGCTCTTCGTAGCTTTACTGCTGTATACATGACCGACGATGAGCATCCATGGAGTGCAGCAACGGATTACAGCAACGCCGTCGACACTTGGCGCAATGAGAGTGAGACGGTGCGGTCAAAGATGGGCGAGTGATGCGCGACGACGGCTACCATAAGTTGCAGCAAGCATTAATACCAAATATATACCGAAGAAGGAGAAGGTAGAGGATATGAAAAATTTCATACATTAAATACCACAATAAGAGCCAGCAATAACGATCCAAGCTGTTGCCCCCATGAACTGTCCAGGACGTCGCCCCGACCTCTATCATCAGAATCGTGTGGTGCTCTACGCCAGCCAAACAGAACGCTTTCGCTATCATGCATTGCGCGCGAAGGGACCAATGAGTGTTGGATCACCCCAGTGAGAGAAGGTGAAAGGATGTCATGCTTAGAGCATGAGAGCAGCGAAGGCACCGATGAGGGCGATCATGCTGCCGGCGGCGAGGCCGGAGGCACCACCGGTGTATGGCACTGGGCCGCTGGGGGTGGCAGTTGGGACGGACCAGGTGCTGGTGCCGTTGCTGGTCTTGGTGAGCGAGCCAGTGCCAGTGCCGGTAGCGAATGACTTGGTGTAAGTCACTGGCTTGGTGATCACGGAGGTGATGACGGTGCTGCTGGTCTTGGTCACTGGGGTTGTGGTGGTGATGACGGTTGTGACAGTTCCGGAGGTGGATGTGTAGGTGGTTGTGGCGGAGGTGGTGTATGGGCATGGGCTGGTAGTGGTGATCGTAGTGACCTGGGTGGTGGTGGTCACTGGGGTGGTGGCCGAGCTGACGCTGCTGGAAGACTTGCTGCTGGTGGAAGACACGGTTGTGGAGCTGGACTTGCTGGAGGTCGTGCTGACGGTTGAAGTGGTCGAGACGGTGCTGGTCTTGGATGATGAGGAGGAAGACGAGCTGGTCGAGCTGGCAGAGGAGGACGAGCTGGAGACGATGCAGTAGCTGTCAACCCATCCTTGGTAGGCGGCGGCGGTGGTGGCGTTGGACGCAGCGATGCAGCTGCTGACCTGGCCAGCGGTGGGCTGGACACAGAGAGCGGCCTCAGAGGTTACGCCGTACTGGGAGAAGCAGGAGGACTGTCGCGGTCGTCAGTGTCATGTTCTTGTCACTCCATCGTCGTCGATACATACCCAGCTGACTGGCATATCAAAGGCCAAAGCCTGAGCACCGAAAACGACCGCAGCGGCCATGATAGTCTTGGAGGAGTACATTGTTGCTGGTATTAGGTATTATCGTAGAAAGGAACGTGGGTATAGGTGCTGCGAGCGTAAAGTCGTGGGAGTATAAACGAATGTGTGTTGACTGATGCTGTCGAAGAGGGAGGGTAGACAACAAGCAGGACGACCAGCCTTCTATACTCTCTGCACTATATTTCCCCAGCCCATCGTCTACTCCTTCGCCTGCCAAGCAAACCAAACAAATACGATGGGTGGAAATGAGGCCCTGGTCAACAGCGTCTAGCGTTGCAATCCCAAGTGCAAAGCAACCTGCAGAATGCGGTATGGCCGCGATATTAAGGTTCATGATATGCTGAGTCGACTGAACCGAATCTCGCGTGGGCCGGTTCACTATTGGATAGATTACGTCTGGGGAATACGAGGAGAGTTCTGCAAAGCAACATGGGCGTGAGATGGCGTCGCTGAGTGACTCCGGTCGCTCGGCCGGAGAATTACTTTAGGCATGGCGAGGATTAATCTAAGTGGTCGATGTGGCGCAGGGGGGTGCGGGTATAAATTAATTCGCCGCTGCTCGGCTCCTTCCCTGTCCAAAAGTGGATATGCACTGAACCTGGGGGCTGTACCTGCGCTTCTCGCCGATCCTCAAGCTTTACTTCTTGCGGCGTGGTCGACTAGCGATGTCACTTCGCGATGGAAGGGTTTACCGAGGAAAGATCTTGCTCGCCTCCTGGATGCTGCTCTCGTGGCCTCGATGTACGCCGACCACGTTTGACCATCTCACGGCACAAACTCTGCGCTGTCAAGCACTGCCCGACTGTCAACGGCTACTCAAACCCAAGGAGAGAGCGCGGTCGTTGTTCATCAGCGTGGTCTCGCAAGTTCAACGACGCTCTCAATCCTGAGACAAAACAAACCAACGCGCGCACCTGTCTTGAGTCAGCATGTACACTGTGGCCATGCCTTAACCATTGATGAAATGATTGACGCCCAAGCCAATTGGAGTCACAACTCCCGAGTAACTAATACGACCATAAGGCGAGCTGGACTCGTCTCAGCTATTCCTCTTGCTATAAATACAGCCGCTGGCCTGAAGGAGCGCCCTGGTGGCCTAAGCCATGCCAAGACTATTGAATAGTAGGCACAGACGATAGCGTTGCGAGCCACACGTGCTCGGAATGCTACGTACTGACGACCTAAGGTCGACGGCGAGTACTGTAGGTGCCTTTGGGTTGTGTCCATTATTTCGACGACTCATCAGCTTTTGTCTTGTCATGTCGCAAATGTCCAACGTTGTGTCTCGGTCTAATATGCTTGTACAACAGCGCAAGATGAACGAGGGCGGACGAGATGCGGTCGAAGCATCTCAAGCCCAACGCAGTCGCAAGCAACAAATGCTTGTTGAACGAGAGCGCAATGGTCTACTTCCTGGACTGCTATCCAAGCGTGCTTGACGAACCTGCCAGTCCTCTGCTCCACGACATGATCTCTCCACAGGCAGAATCTCCGCCGGCTCCTATTTATTTTCAGTCGTTATCGTGGACCTGCCATGAAAGACAGCTTGGATTACTGATGATCTTGCCTCGGATGCACAATGAAGCACCTACATCCTGTCCCACTCACTGGTCGATATATTTGTGAGGCATGGGCGGACTTCGCCAGGTTCATCAAGGTCGGCAGGGCATGAGGAAGATTCTGTCGCGAGAGAGAAGCTGCCACACAAAAGACTGGTCCCACAGGACCATAGCTGATCTGCAGAACCCGAGCGTCGCTATCTTTGTCCACATTGCACCTGGTCATGACAGACAGCCCGAGCAGCGCCTATCGTCATCGACCATGCGCTGGTGACGTGAGCTCACTACAGAACAGCTAGGGACGTTGTGCCTACGCTACACTCTACCGGTACGATCGCTGCAAACGACCACTCATAGCGACAGAGATATCGAAGCTGCCTACCTTGCCGTTTACGCGCATCATCTCTAGCCGACCGAAGGCTGAGTCGACTCTCGCGATGCTTGAACGGAGGAACGAATTATCGAATACCGTCTGCAGGACAGAAGCCCGAGGACACGCATCGCATCATATGCTCAATGAGTCCATCGTGACGAGCACCTGGGCCAAAGGTCGTGCCTGACACAAGAAAAGTGACGTTGACATCGTCGTCGAAAGTCAAGCCAATGTACTGTTCGTACAAAAGTCGACATGTAGGTTCATCGTAAGCTAAGGACATTGGTCCACAAAAGCGGCTTGGGATCGTGATACCGACGTCGGTTACAAGCATGACCTTTGATGGGTATAGGTATGACATTATTACGTATCAGTCGGACGACTCATGACATCTGCTACGGTTTGGCAGACAATTTTGACAGATCTTGCTCGTAAGACCACTCATGCACAGAGCAATGAGAAGCATACCCTCCGAGCGCATCTAGGCTGGTGGCCCAGTAGCTCCGCTCAACTCGCCCATAGCCTGCGCAATACCGCACGCAGCAGCGATCTCGCCATCATCCAGACCCCAAGCAATAGAGTTGAACTCGAGATCGAGCTCATCGATCTGCCACTTGCCAGCTTTCTGCACCACGCCGATGAGGTTGAAGCCACGCACGCGGTAGGTGGCGCGAGCTACGGCGTCGAACTCGAAGTACCAGACGACCTTGTTGCAGCCGGCTGGGCTGACGTACAAGCTCTGGATACCTGTCGTTGGTGGACCGCGGTAGACGATACCTTGGATCCATTCCTGCTTGGTGGCGGTTTGGCCGGTGCCTGTCAACTGTTCGAGGAGGTTAGCTTGCTTTTCATGGTGAGTGGCTGGAAATGATTCTCGGCGTACGTTCAATCCTTGCAGCGACTTGATCGAGTCCGAGTACTCGCCGAAGTCGTCGGTGAGGAGTGCTTGCGCAGTAGCATTGGCACCATCCTGTGTGGGCAAGTGGTTGAAGACCGTGATGGCTGTGTTCACAAGATCCGTAGCCTGCTGTTGCGAGATGCACTGATGGTTTTCGTGTGGGCCCCAGTTGCCGCCAGGACCGCCCCAGTGAGGACCACCCCATTGTGGGCTGGCGAGCGCAGTGGTGGCAAATGCCGTCGCGGCGAGGGTAGAGAAATGCATTGCGGCAGCAATGTGAATGAAGAAGCTGTTTGAGGTGAAGGGTTGTCGAGGGGGCAAGGTATCAGGAAGAATGAAATGAAGTCAATGAGACCAGGTTCGTGACCAGGTACTTTATACGTCGGGTACCTGCATGGCGCTGCGATCTCGTATCTGACATCAGGCCAGGCGGACCCATTCGATGTAGTTCGCCCAGCTGTGCCGCTCTAATCCGGGGACAAGCGATCCTTCATACCAGAGTTGCAGGCCACGTGAACACTGTCTGGACGCCTCGGACGCCTTCTGGTTGGATGCTGAGATCAATCAGGTAAGGGCTGCATGCCTAAGATTCGCTGGTGCGGACCGGCGTCCTTTTGACTCTTCCACGTTCATGGCTAGCCGCGGACGCGACATTCTTGGGAGCGTCGATGTTGTTCATGTGGAGCGTGTGACAGCTTGCGGATCCCTTGCGTACCCGTCAGTGTGTAAATTGTGCTTTTTGAGCTGACTGCAATAATTTGCCACTGACAGCATCGTCTAATAAGCGAGATGAATTGGAGGTACGAAAAGCAAGAGGCTTGACTTTCACAGCCTATAAAGCTTCACTTTGGATACGCGGACGGCATTGGTCGTTTTCCCAGCGTGCCTGACATCCTGAACTCAATTGGATATTGTGGGGTGCGGGGAATTTCTCCGCATTTGACATGGAACGAGTCCTCTCGCTTGCCTGCTCCTTCCCAAACCAGAATAATGCCTGTACGCAGAGGCGGGATTTGTAATTTGAGAGCAACGGTATTATTGAGGAAGATTAAGAACGACTATCAAAAGGTGGCAACATCAAGGTGCGACCGTACAGCTGTACGATACATCGATCTGCACGTTTCGATGGAAGTACAACGTGCTCAGAGTCCACCTCGCTCCTACCGGCCCTTGCAGCTATTATATGATCGTTTCATTGACATCGGCTCTACTGGCATCCTGCCTCGCCATTCTCGACGAACTGCCCACCGAAATATCCTTATGCTGCCTTGGCCAACCTCAGAGACCACCATGAACCGGATTGCCACCCTGGCTGTCGAACTCATCCTCCGTCCTTGCGGGGCGCTACCCGCTTTACCGACCAGAGCCCTGCTGCTGGGGCTATAGTACCGATAGTGATTCCCATAGTCCAATGAGGGATCTGGATGGAAGTCGCCCAAAGGAGCCCACAGATCCCAAGCCATAAGTGTCCCGGGAAGCTGCTTAGGAACGACACCAGGGACATCCCATTCCGCATGACACACCATCGCCTACCGTGTACTTCGCCACCCAGTGTCTCGGTCTGTAGCACATACCAAGCATTGGCAATCACATCCAGAGATGAGCTGAACACTGCATCTATGGACTCTACAGTCATGCTGGACTACCGCACATGATCTTCGCTGGTCGTGGCTCCATCAAGACCAACGAATGACTGTGAGTGGCATCGCGACTCAACAGGTAGCGGAGATACGCAGGCTGCGAATCTAGCCCTCGTGCGTGGTGTCCATCATAATCAGGAGCTGTTTTCCGTTGTGGTAACACCACAGCTACGAAGAGACTGGCTACGAAGGCAGACGCAGCTAGCAGGCGTCCATGCACAAGCGTGACACTCATGTCCCACCGCAGCGTCCACCTGTTGCCCTATGTGGTGATAGTGAACATCCTATCAGCCGCTCAGAGGAACAGCGAGGTAGTACGACTAGCGGATGCTTACAGAATTCCCCATCAACAGCGGCGGTGCAACCGGACGATCAGCTGAGGAGCCTACTCACCACTGGAAGACTGCAAGGCCCTAGAAAGGTCTCTCGTGAGCCACATCTCGCGCTCTGATGACATCGCAGCCTGTCCACAGCTTTTAGCCTTCGACAAACTGCGCCTGACAAAGGGGCTATATATTTCTTACATTTCTCGTAAGATGCTGATTCGCTATCTCTGCAATCTAGGAATATGTATAACATACATACATACATCATCGAATAACAAACCTCCCATCATCCTCATCCAACTCATCGCTATCCCAAGCATCCTCCGTATCATCCCTCGCCATCCGAAGAAAGCGCTGGATTTCGCCACGGAAGCGGTCGTCATCGTCTAGCGCAGCATGAGGAGCTTGTCGTCTCCGTGGTGGTAGTGCCGCTGCTGCGCGTTCGTGTCGACGCACGGCGTCCGCTGCACCGCCAACACCCGGCCGGACGGGGAAAGGATTCCGTCGTGCTCGCTGTGGCGGCGGGGCACGAGCTTGTGGTTGTGGCTGGGGCTGGGGATCAGGTGCCTGAGGAGGAGGATTGAGCTGCACCTGCGCCAAGCCAACAACAATTGGCTCAGCAACCACAACATCCCACGCCGCAGCCCTAAGCTCTCTCTGCCTCTGGGTCGCCTCATCCACCTCCCCTTCCCCATCCTCCCCAGCCATCTCCGCCAATTCCCTCTCATCCGCCTCCCTCGCAACCTCAAGCGCCATCATCTCGAACCTCCTGATCCCCCCAAACCTCTCCCCCGCCTCCCGTCCCTCCTCCCCCTGCAACAACTCCGCCGCTTCATCCCCCTGTTCCAGATCAAATAACCGCTGATAACACTCCCGTCCCGTAGTATTGAAATGAATATACGGGTTCTCCTTATTCAACCACGCACCACATAAGTAACAGAAATGCGATCCACATTGGAAACAAGTCATATGGTTGCATCCGTGGATCTTCTGGGTTGGGGAGCCGCAGGATGGGCAAGGCGAGGTGTGTCGGCGGATATAGTTGTAGGAAGCCCGTTCTTCAACGGTCAGGTCGCCGGCGTTGCGCGGGAAGCAGCGGATGAAGGGGCCGTGCCAGCCCATGTAGCAGACGCGGCAGAAGGCCAGGGAGCACTTTTCGCAGACGGCGAGGCGGTCGACGTCGAGGCCTGAGGCTGGGTCTTTCTTGGGTGGGGTGGTGGCTGTGGAGTCGTGGCGGGTTTCGGCATCGTTGTCTGAGTTCTCGTCGTCAGAGGCGATGTATTCGGTCAGGTCTGTAGGTAAGGGGACGTAATTTGCGCTTTTGGCGGGTCCTTGGCACCATGTTCTTGGACACCATACAGTGTTTTTGTCCGCTTCGAGTTTCTTCTTGCGTTTCATTTCGACATAACGGCGGACTACGGGTTCTTCTATCCGCATGGCTAGGAGTTCTCGAGGGTGGAGTGTGCGTTCGCGCTTCCGCTTCTTCTTGCCGCTTGGGTCTACACCGCATGTTGGATCGAGACATCGAATTACTGCCACGTCACCTTCCATGATGGCGTTATTGTAGAAGTCCTGTAGGCACTGTAGACAGAAAACGTGTCCACAGCGCTTCATCTTGTAGCATGCCAACCCTTTCTTCGGCTCGAGACAGATACCGCAGTCGTAGTGGCCGGTGTTGAACACAGCCAGCTCTGTCGCTTCATCAAAAGCCACGAGGGTCTTCTCGGCTGATGCTGGAAGGACGAGACATCCTTCAGCACTCTGATCGATATCGAAAGCACGTTCGGCTGCTTGTTGCAGAAAGTCGATGTATGCGAATAGGATCTGACATCGTCCGTACTCTTCCCATACCTTCGCAGCTTCCACTTCTAGCTCATCCAACTTCTCTTTCCGCAACCACGCATGGTCCGCCGACAATAGTACTTTCGGCGGCGCATCGACTGGATATGACGGAGGAAGCAAGACTTGCAGGATCAATGAAGGCAGGTGCGATAGCTTGACATCATGCTCGACATGCGCGTTCACCGTAGCTTGTGCATACGTCGGACTCGCGGCGGTTGGTGACTTGTCAGGAACGAATCGAACGAGTAGTGGCGTCGACGGCGTGACGGCCAACTCGAGCGTCGCGAAGCAAGTCTCGTGATCGATGCGGATTTCTGGGTAGATCGCTTCGAGACTCCCGAGCTCCTCTACTCGCTCGTCGAACTCAGCCATCGTGGCACGAATATGCTGTACTCCGAACAGCTTTGGCGAATCGGATGGACTTTTGACGAGAGTCGATCAGACCACCGGACAGCTGATGTTATCTGGTGTGCATGGATACTCGTCTGGATCTGATACAACTGTCAGTATTATTGATGTGGGTATGTCTTTGGACGCCAGTATCAGTAGCGACAGAAGTCAGTGAAAGAGTCACCATCCGAAAGCATTCGCCGCTTTCGACTCTCATGGCTTTGTCACTTCAGCGTAAAGAATCCCTGCAAGAGCCATGACTTCACTGCCGCTAGCGTGCAGCGGCTAGATCCGAGTCACGTCCGAGATCCGAGAAAGGGACCGAGGGACGAGCACGTACAGCAACCAATCGACCATGCGAATGCGCTTCTTCACATAACAACACCGACAGCAGCGATGGACTCACCACCTTTAGCCTCACTATCGCTAACCCACGTCCACTACGACCCCACTGATCCCATCTCCCACGCTTGCGCATACCTAGCCCTCGTCCCCCAAGCCCTAGTGATCACCTACGCGGCTCTAATATGGAGCACCCGCGAAGTGGAAATCCTGCTCATGTTCGCTGGCCAGATGGGCTGTGAAGGTCTAAACTGGATATTGAAAAGATACATCAAAGAGGATCGACCTACACGTGCGTCCTGACATCGCTCCATCTAGCTTTTCACGAAGGTAGGCTGACAGGTAGGCTTTTTTCTTCCTTGTAGAAATGCACGGCAAAGGCTACGGCATGCCCTCCTCTCATGCCCAATTTGTGGCATATTTCTCTGCTTTCCTCACTCTGTTCGTCTTAATTCGACATAATCCTCATCACGCGCATGCGAGTAGTACGCACCTGCCGACCCCTTACTGGCAACGCCTAGCCCTGGCATTACTTTCTATGCTTGGGGCTGCGGCCGTGGCGCAGAGCAGGATATACCTCATCTATCACACGCCGAAGCAAGTCTATGCTGGTGTTTTGGCAGGAGTGATTTGTGCAGTGGGATGGTTCGTGGTCACGAGTGCGGCGAGGCATTGGGGTGTGGTGGACATGTTGTTGGAGACGCCGTTGGCTAGGTACGCTCCTCTCACCTTTTGTCTGATCCAGCTCTATCAACGTATACGACGTGCGGTCAAGATTCGGCGACGTATACGGGCGAAGGCATTGGGAGCTGCGAGCGCGACGGAGAAGAAAGCTTGTCCTATCTGTCACAGGCAACGCATTGCTGGGCTGCGCTGATCGACTTCTATTGTAGATGGTTACGACTCCGCGACCTTGTCGTGAACGAAGACCTGGTGGACGCTGGTTGGGAACGATGGGAGCTGAGACGGAAACGCTTGGCCGAAACCCTCAAGGAGCAGAAGAAGTCGAGGTGATACATGGTCCGCGGACACCTTCCACTCTTCCATCCTGTTGCCAGAAGTACGCCTTGTTGTCAGATCGCTTGCGCTCAATGTCTACGCTTCTGACACGCAATCCGAAGATCATGGTCTTGGCAACATACTGCAAGCTTGGCGGACTGGAACTGCACAGACTCTGCGAAGACGGGAGTATCAACTCGAACGCAAACGAAAGCAGCGACTACACGCCCATCGCGTCCAAGTCTTTCCGCAACAACACCACCAACAAACATAGTTCACGCCACCATATGTCACCACATCATGCAGGGTCTAGATCGCGCTTACGTACGCAGCATCCATCCTATGAATAAACCATCTCACGCCAGCCACAACACCCCCGACGCCTTTCGGAAGGACACCCGTTAGTCGTGTGACTGCATCATCCAACAACGAGGACGCTGGCACGCCACTGCGACGTTGGGGTTGTACTGTGGATAGTGCGTGGCTGCTGCAGGTGGGACATGGATGCCAACATGTGTACATGGATGCCAACATGAGCTTGGTAGGTGTTGGATTGCGTGACTATGGAATTTCGGGGCTGGAAGAAAGGGCCGTGGTGGCGAATCGGTCCCGGATGCATGTCGATGGTATGTCCTTGAGCGAATGGCAAATCTACCTAGGGATTGCTTGGTGATAGAGAAGCTTGAGTGAAGGGTCTTGGTACAGTGCATACATCAGGCCATGTTACAAGTATACTCTGCATCTTACATCATAGACTTTCTTCCAAAGACCTGGACTATACCTATATCTTTAAGAATATCATCACGTTCTGGCAAGACGCAGACGCTCGCCAATGATTGTCATGACCCACGGCGGGCTCGAGGGCACGCCCATCCAAAGCACTGTATCGCAATGGCGCGACAGTTTTGCAGACATCCGCTAGCTGTGCGACGCCATGTAACCACTGATCGGAGCTCGATGTTATCACTGTCGAGATGAACCACTGCCAAGAGTCTCACAAAGTCGGCATACCCATTGGCTGTCGTTGCTGGAAGGCCGTCCTGCGCACTGCTGCGGACACCCGTTAGCTGTACGACCATGGGACTTCGAAAGCTGGCGAGCCGTAGTGGGTTGTCATGTATCACGGGTCTGCGCTGGCTGTGCTATTTTGTCATCCACTAAGATCAGAGAAAGGTACGTGTTTGACAATTGGCCGCTGATCGACCAAGCCATCTGAACGTGGTGCAGAAGGGTTTTTACAATGGTCCAGCCTGTCCTCGACTCTTCTCCTTCTCGCTTGGTTAGGACGTCCATACAACCAGGAACTCGTCACGTCGTTCGTGCGATATGCCAGCGCTCACCAACTGCGTCTCCTAAACATCCAGTAGACCAAGCCTAAGCTACCTTGTCGCAGCACAAGCTTGGACACAGTGCGCACACCACACAAACAACACACCCATGTGCTACGAACGCTGTCTAGCTGTACTCCTCCATCATCCAGTAGACGCCCACAAGCTCCCACGTCATTGCACAAGTATACACAAGCGGGTGGCTTGATGCGCAATATGCAGGCATTAGCTAGCTGTGCTCCTTCACAGCCCAGTAGATGTAGCCGTACAGTATTGTCAGGGATTCGAAAGCTGCTTAAGCTGCGGACCCGGCTTAGCTGTGTCTTCTCGCCAGCCAGTGTATGAAGCCGCGCCAGTCGTACTGTCCCACAAGTGTGCACAACTTCCTGCAGCTTTGCAGCAATCCTCGTCAGCCGATGTTCGTATGGCACGATTCGCACGAAGCTTCCTCATGCACCGGGTCTGCCTGTTAAACTGTTGCTGGCTGCATATGGAAAGCAGCCCGTGAGCACGCATGATCCAGGCAGGGAGACTTCTGCTACATCCCCGAGACAATCGTGCTCTACCAGTCTTCATTTCCATGCATCCCAGCACATCTTGTCCCGGTTGATCAATGCGTCAAGACTGACCCCAGCACCATGTCGAGGAGCCTCGAGCACGCGTGTATGATCCTCTGCTACTGCTGCTGTGTGGATTGTACCGAAACCACGATGAGTCGTTCCGGCTATACGGTGGTGGACCTAACGAATGCTGTGGCGCCTCACTTTTGCAGCAATCCATTAGCCGTACGACCTACTCCATCCAGAAACTGCAATATGCTGAGGGTGCAGGTCGCATATCCTGCAGAGTCCATGCGAAACCAGTTGCAACGGAAGACCATTAGCGGCATGACCCCTGCAGCCAACGAAATGGCAGCTGAACTGCCAGTATGTAGCAAGGGAGGCTGCGGCCTTTAGCTGTACCACCTTCGTAGCCAGGCATTTTCAGGCCGCAATATCTCGTCCGTCAGTACTGCAATTTCCTTGTGACAATAGTCGTCACTCGGTACTTTCTCTCCCAGCCATCGAACCAGCAGAGCATTCTTTCATAGCATAGACTTCGATGCAGAGGCGCAAGTGATTGACATCCATAAGCGAACCGCAAAGGTGATGGGTGGGTTATGTGGCCGTGTGACAGACGAACGCTAGCTGTCCGACCTCAACGCCCAACAAGCTGCCAGAATCGATCGCGAGTGACTCCCGGACATCAGCTGCGACACAGACCCCGCTGCATCTGTTCTCTTTGGCTAGACAGCCCTTGGCTGTATCACCTTACCAACCAAGCAATTTTGAAGTTCCTTCCAGAGCTGGTGAAACTCGGGATTCTGAGTGATTGCATTGGTCAAGCGGCTTGATCCCGTGGTAGTGCAATGCCTCCGAATGTTGTGGCGGAGCTTGACGGTGGCGTGGACAGCCGTTAATGGTCCCTCATTGATCGACCAGACAGTGTGTGGGATATGCAACATGTTTTGGAAACAGCTGCGTGAATGTGGGACGATTGTGCCATGGTACGTCACCTGTCATGAAATTGTGCAGGAGTCGAGTCACTGGTCCGTGATCTCGCAACTAGCGACGAGGCTAATCAGTTCCGGTCGACAGGGCAAGGACAACGCATGACTTTGAACTCTTCTCAGTTGGCGGATCCATCTGGCTAGTCCTTCGCCGTTGCCGAACCCGAGTCCGTTCATTGCGCACAACTGAAAATCTGAGCGTGGCCAAGCATCGCCACACGGGCCTACAGAGCCAGATGCCTCTCCACAAATCACCAGGTAGACCGCATGAGCACGACAGCCTGGCTGCTGAAACCTCAGGCACTATATTCCTCGTCTGGCTCAGACTCTTGCGAGCCTTCCGCTCAGAGCAGATAGGTCTGATCGAGAGACCATGCCGTGATTCCTTCACCTCAGCGATACCTCAAAGCACATCCAATACCAGCCCAACGACCTCCTCAAACTCCTCCCTCCCAAGCCCCACCGCATCCATCAACCCCAACCCCAGAACCAACAATCTCTGCTCCCCCGCCCGTTTCATCAAAACCGCACTCCCGATAACCGTCCCAAGCGTCTGCCCCACAACTTCCTCTTCCCGCTTCGTCCCACCAAGAACAGTAGTAGCCGTTAAATCACTCCGGGGCAAGAGCGTACTTTCCGAATCAACAGACCCGAGACCAGAGGTATTATTCCCAGAGCTAGGTGCGATTTGATCTGCTGAGGCGGTGGCGAGGGGGACGTGGACCCAGTGGCTGAGGCGACCGGCTTGGGAGATTGTGATTAGGAGTTTGTCGGTGAAATTTATGCTCGTGATGGTTGTTTGACGGCCTGATACGAGGCCTGAGGTGGTTTTGCTTTTGGCTGGGAAGGGTGAAGGCTGGACTGAGATTTCCGCGACTAATGAGGTGGTTGTTGTGGTGGCCATTGTGGTGGGATCGTTATACTTGTTCCTAGTGCTAGAGTTGAGGAGTTCCGGAGAGGACTGTCCGTATCTCGACGATGTTAAAAGCTTCTTATCCTACTGGAAGCCTTCGTGTTGTGCTATGTATAGCGAGCCACACGGCGACATTCTGATACAGGCTGTGCTCGAAACCCACTTGGTGAGCCACATCGCGGCACGGAACGCCCCCACACCTCGGCACATGCACGTCATCTTGCGACAGAAACATTTCAAAAAGTTCGAGATGTGCAGTAGTAGAATGCATTGGGAAGTGGTTCAGGAATGGCGCAATACAAACCACGAGAGCGGAAACGGCGTCGCCTAGATAAAGCTAGAGATAAATCTTCCCGGTCTGCACAAGTTGTCCCAGACGAGACCGACTCGGCCCAACCTTCTGAGAAGGATGTCCTTCGTTCTGACCTGACCAGCCAAATACGAGGATCGCAACCAGACAAGATTTCTAATAAGAAGAAGAAGAGACTGGACAAGTACATCGACACCAAGCTCAAGAAGGATGAGAACCTGGAATTGCTGAAGAAGTTGGCGGCGCACAAGGTGGATACGTCGTTGTTACAAAGTTCGAAGAAACTTGGTCGGGTGCATGAAACGAAGAGGGAGAGATTTGGGAGGGCACTGAGGGAGCAGAGTGCGGGTATTGATGGACATGAGGATGTGTTGTATGAGAGCAGGCGAGAGGTTGAGGAGGATGAGGAGGATGGAGTCCTTGATGAGGCTCAGGAGCGGATAGTAGAGCCTACAGCACTTCCGGTCGTAGCGCAGCCTACTTTATCGTTCGGAACCGGACTAAAGAGACCGCTTGACATTGGCGAGGACGGTAGGCCTGCTATCAAGAAGCGAAAACGGCGAAAATTGGTCGAGGAGCAGATTCCGGACGAGGATGAATGGGTGGGGTTTGCATCCGAGGACGACGATATCTCGGCCGCAAGCGCTGTCCAGGAGGTGGATGAGGTGGATCCCAGTATACCAGAGGATGGAAGTGACAGTGAAGATGAGTCTTTATCTCAAGGATCCAGTTCATCTACAAACGATGACCCATCCAGCTCGGACTCTGATCCTGATGAGAAGAAGGAGCGCGTGTCCGCGTTCAAGCAGTGGGCAACAGCTCACCGGAATACCGCACTCGGCTTCCAACCGTCTGCTTTACCGACCCAAGATCCGAGTGTCCGAGCCAACTTCCGACCACGTCAAGCTTCACCCGACCCTGTGGCAGTGGATATAGTGCACAATGGCGGTGAGAGGACTTCAAGACCCGCTGCCGCTATCACAGTAATACGCCCTGAGGCTATTCAGGCTGCTCGTATGGAGCTACCAGTAGTGCAAGAAGAGCAGAAGATCATGGAAGCCATACATCACAATCCTATCACGATCATCTGCGGCGCTACAGGGTCAGGCAAGACTACTCAAGTACCGCAGATGATGTTCGAGAGTGGGTACGGGTCTGCTATAGGAGACAGAAGTACGGCAGCTGGGAGCAGCAAAGGTGCGCAGAGCAAGGGAATGATTGGCGTCACGCAACCCCGAAGAGTCGCTGCGACGTCAGTAGCGGATCGAGTAGCTACTGAGCTTGGACCTGGCTACAAGAACCGAATAGCGCATCAGGTCCGTTACGACAGCAATGTGAGTAGGGATACTGCAATCAAGTTTATGACCGATGGTATCCTGCTACGGGAGATTGGGAACGACTTCACACTATCGAAGTACAGTGCCATCATCATCGATGAGGCTCACGAGAGAAGCGTCAACACTGACATCTTGATTGGTATGCTCTCCCGCATTGTTCGACTGCGAGCTGAGCTGGCTGAGGAGGATCCAGAAAAGCACTATCCGTTGAGACTGGTCATCATGAGCGCTACGCTCCGTGTCAGTGATTTCGCCGAGAATCGCAGACTCTTCCGCGATGGACCACCACCAATAGTAGAGGCCGAAGGAAGACAATTCCCTGTTACTGTGCACTTCAGTCGTAAGACGCAGCGAGACTATGTTGCCGAGGCGGTGGATAAGGTAGCAAGAGGACATAGAAAGCTACCACCCGGCGGCATGCTAGTATTTCTGACTAGCCAGAATGAGATCGCGGCAGTAGCAAAGCAACTAAAAGAGAAGCTGGGAGGCAGCACAGCAGGCATGAGCTCACTAGAAGTAGACGACCTGGAAAGTGCTCGCCCAAACAACGACTACCTCGAAGGCGAAGATCAATCGGACTCAGATTCCGATATCCAGATCTCCGGCCTTGATTCCGACAAAGACGACCAAGAGTTCCAAGTCGAAGACGGAGAAGCACCACAATTTGGTCGTCGTACCCCGGGAATCCTCCAACCGCACATCCTACCCCTCTACGCCGCTCTGCCCACAGCACAACAACTCCGTGTATTTCAGCCAAAGCCGTCAGGCTCCAGGATGATCGTCCTCGCCACCAATGTCGCCGAAACCTCCCTTACGATACCTGGAATAAGGTATGTCTTTGATTGCGGCAGGGCGAAGGAGAAACACTACGATATATCCACTGGGGTTCAAACGTTCGAGATCGACTGGATCTCTAAGGCTTCTGCCGCCCAGCGCGCGGGTCGTGCGGGTCGAACAGGACCGGGACATTGTTATCGTCTTTTCAGCTCGGCAGTATATGAGCAGTTCTTTGCTGAACATACGGTTCCTGAGATCTTGCGGACGCCGCTTGAGTCTACTGTCTTGCAGTTGAAGGCTATGAATATTGAGAATGTGCCACATTTCCCTTTCCCCACCGCGCCGGATGCAGTACAGCTGGCGCAGGCCGAGAGACTACTGCGGAATCTGGGCGCCATCGGGAGGAGTGAAAGAGGCGAGATAACGGACCTAGGAAGGCAGATCATGGGGTTCCCGGTTTCGCCGAGGTTCGGGAAGATGTTGTTGTTGGCGCAAAGGAATGGCGTAGTGCCTTTTGCTGTGGCCATTGTGGCTGGGCTGGCGGTGGGCGATCTGTTTATCCCTGAAGCTCAATTCAAGGAGCAAGGGCGACATGAGGCTTCAGGGGAAGACAGCGATGATGAAGATCGAAGGGCAAGAAGGGCGGAGGAGACGGCGATGACTTCGGCTGCGCAGCGACGGCATCAGGCTTATACTCGTGCTCATGCCAGTCTTTCGCAATGGGACGACCAGGCAGATATCATCAAGCTCCTCACCACCATTGCTGCGCATTCGGACAACAATACCACTACATCGGCCGCCTCCACCTTCTGTGAACAATTCTTCCTTCGCGAGAAAGGGATGCAAGAGGTCCAACAATTACGGCATCAACTTCACAATATCGTCGCTGCACGACATGCGGCTTTCCTCGGCACTTTCAAACCCTTGCTCACACCGCCCAGTGAAAAGCAGAGGGGTGCTCTGAAGCAGCTTGTCACGGTGGGATATCTCGACCAAGTGGCTATTCGATCAGATCTACTGCCTTCTGCTCCAGCGTTACCGGGAAGGAAACCTGGGAGGGCGATAGAGGTGCCATACACCACTCTCCTGCCCTCTCTTGCGGCGGATGGGATCGACAAGACGGCGTCATCAGAAGAACAGGCACTTCAGCGTTCCGTCTTCATCCATCCTTCTTCCGTACTGGCTAAACTCAGTGTGCCGGAAATGCCTGGTTATGTGGTCTACTCCCACCTCTCTCGCGCAGCCCCAAGGACGCTAGACAGTGGACGCACGCCAAGGACTCGTATGCATCCCTTGACGACCGTGGGAGCAAAGAACCTTGCTGCGCTGGCTGAGGGCTCGGGATTGCTCGAGATGGGCAAGCCGATTGGCAAGATTGAGGATCTTGGAGTGGGTAGACGACAGTGCTGGGTTGAGGTGTCGTTGAAAGCGGGCGAGAGTGGTTCGGTGGGGTGGCCTTTGGGTGCGTGGAAGGTGGTACAGAAAAGGGGGAGTCGAGGAGCTTGGGAGATTGAGACAGTTGTGGCTAGATAGGGACATCATCTAAGTACCATTGATGATGACAGCTGATATATAATGGTGCAAACATCCAGCGAAGTTTGAGCGGCTTTTCTCCACTAATATTGCCTTGTGTGAAGACTGCCACTGTATCCTCGACCCAGCCCCTGATCGACCCCAAGTGTTTATTATTGTGAGTCTCGACGACGTGTAGGTTAGCATCTCCTTCGGGAATGGAAAGGTCGTGCTGACCATATGCTAGTAAGCAAGCAAGCAAGGACTTGTCACATACATGATTGGTTTCGGACCAGTCTTGTTGGCAGGAATTGTCATGTCTTGGTACTGTAGCTCCGTGACCTTTTGCCACCCTAAATTGTTCATGTGTGGCGTATCCTCTCATTCCACCATGCTCCCGAGCGACCAGTCCGGTACTGGTGCCCAGCATGTCGTCCGCGATCGCCACGGCGATCACGCCACGTTCTCTGATCATACCCCTGATCCACGTGCACCCTGATCAAGCCCGTCTCCTCGATGGCAACTTACGAGTGGGCACAGAGATCCGACGGACCGATGGGGCCTTACTGCTCAAGCCGGCTACCTCGTTCACGGACCTTGAGCGTCTATTGCTCAAGCAGATCGATGCACGTTTCGAGAAGATGTCCGTTGGAGATCGTATAGCGGCTAGTGTTCTTGTACTACCTGGGCGAGAAGACGCAGGGACGAAGAAGAAGGTTAGTGGCGCTCGCCGTGACGGTAGCATCTTTGTTACCATTTCGGACGAGCAACGCTGGGAGGCAGCGAGACCCATGCTTCTCGAAGGCAAAGCAGAATTGGTACTATGGTTCACGCAGCAGGCCGGAGGGTTTGATGTTTTGTTGGAGAGATTGAAGGCAGACATGCTTTTAGGTGAGCTGCATTTCCGTAGTGGTTACTGACGTCGTGTATAGGACCTACGAAGTCCCCACTAGGATCGCCCGCAAACGTGCAAGAAGCCGTGGCAGAGGTAAAGATTGCATGGACAGGCCTCGAAATGGCTATGGAAGGCCTTCTTCTGTGGCGGAAACCCAGAACGGCATCGAGGGCTATGGGTATATATGCTGATGTGGAAGCGGATCATGGCAAGCAGCGTGTGCTGAGTGAGAAGCAAGTGTGCCTGATGAGATATTGAAAGACTAAAGCTTAGAAGTCGTCGCCGAGTAGTACAAATGCTCGGGGCGGCGACGAGACGTTGGCATGTCGGGTGCTGGCAGCTTCGTGCCCGTGCCAATCTCCTCCGAGCTCGTGGCGTACCCTATTATCCAGCTCAGGCCTTGGTTCCATAGTAGCGAACTCGCGAACTTCAGTCTGTGCGCTAAGTTCAAGGTGTTGAGGTGATTGTCCCTCGATGTTCTTGTTAGATAATCCGGATTCGCCTCCTGGTGCCAATGTCTCCTGCACGTGCACGTTACTTTGGCGGCGTATGCACTTCCTGTAGATCCAGAATACAATCGAGCCGAGTACCAGTGCACCACAGCCAATACCCACGCCGATTCCCACTCTGTCATTGTGGTCGAGATCTCTCCTGTTGATCATGACCACGACTGGAGCCATGTCAAGGGCAGTACACTTGAGATCCAATTCAGTGTTGCAGAATTCGACTAGAGCCTAATGGATCCAGAGGTGTTGCTCGGCGCAATCGATGCTGGTAACGAGTCATGGTAGAGCGGACCAGAAGCCATAACGGTATTGTCCTTTCACATCTCGATAGTCAAGGCCGAATTAGCTGGTGAGAAGATAAGCTACAACGCAAGCAAAAGCAACAGCATCAGCCGACAGCTCATTTGGTCATGCCACTCGAAGCTCGAGGTGGACCATTGCCTAGTCTGCAGTCTTACTGGTGCAGTGTCCATGTGTGTGGCAGTGCTAGCTTGCTGCTGCAGAGGCTGTAGCTGCGGTCCGAACAGCAACAGCTATCGGGATGATAGTCCGCTGCCTCGTGATACGCGTGACTAGCGGCGGTGAGCACATCTCTCCGACGACATCACCATCAAGCTAGTTGTCACTATATCCGGTATCAGAAGACGGAAGTTGAAGAGTTTTGATCATGGATTGCGGTTCGTGATGTCGAAACGAAACAAACTTCGATATGACAAGGACCGCTAGCGGCTACACCCGCCCAGACAAGACCAGAGTGCATTGAAGTTTCGTTAGTGATAACACTTCTGTGCAAATTTCTTGGGAAGTTCCTTGGGAAGTGTCTATGTACATAATGACTCAGTGCACGTTAGGGCCTGCAGTAGTAGGCGCTTCATGCCCATGCCAATCCCCTTCAAGCTCGTAATGTACATTCTCTCCCATCTCCGAGGGCCTTTCCTTCGCAGCAGACTCGTGGATCTCACCATTAGGGCTAAGGTCTGAGACATGAGGTGCCTTCTTCTCGATGCCATCACCTGGAAGTTCAGCCTTGCCTTCAGCCTCAGGCACATATTTCTTGCTAGGAGAAGAACGCCTGCGGAACAGCAAGAACCAGACAGCAACAGCTAGGCATAGAAGCCCGCCTACAGTGGCTCCGACTCCGATGCCAGCCTTCGCACCTACGCTGAGACCAGGATAAGGTGTCGTGGACGTCTGTGATGCTCCCGTCGCGGTCGTAACAGTACTGGAAGCAATTACAGAGCCGGCTGAGATGCCTGAGCCGGTGGCTGTCGCAGAAGTCGCTGCAGACGTAATGCTGGCAGTGGTCAACAGAGGCAGCGAAGCAGAATTGAAGAGTGTCAGATCGCTCGAGGCCCATGCTACGGCAATCGCAGGGGCGTAGGCCGTGAAGAGTTCGGTTATGGTTGTGGTAGTGTTGGAAGCCACTATTGCTGTCGCGCTACCCGTTGGAAGTATCTCCGAGCAGCTACTAACAACCTGTAGCCATGACATGCCACTATTTGCACATATAAGCACGCGGCTTCGAGTCACAGCCTTGCAAGACTTGTAGGAAACATACTGAGGACAGCAGAGCGAAGTATGAACGTCAGATCCCGCAGACGTCCAGCTCGCAGCAGCTGCATATCCTTGCGGACACACCCCAGGCGAATACAGTATTGTGTAAGTCTCGTTGAAGTTGCGAGGATAGCATTGCGAGGTCAATGTCGGCGCCAAAGACGGCCTACACGTAATTGTGCCTTATGTGCTTTCCACAGATTCCCAGACGGAGTTCGAGCAGACCGGCGCAGGTGTAAAAGCTGAAGTGAGTGGTAGTACGGAGTTCACGGAGATCGTGAGTGAGAATGGAGGCCGCTCGACCAGACTCAAGGTGATACTAGCCATGGTAGCTCTGCCTTCTCGCGTTCAAGGCTGTTGTTGTCGTAGACAGTTATGATTGGGAAGCACTCTGCCTCTCTCCCTCTCGCACGATCGCTTCGAAAGCTTCGAAGCATGTGTCGCTTAGACCACCCCTGCACGACAAAGCCTGTAACGCCACAGCATTTGGCCCCCAGACCTGATCCGTCGATCCACATCTCGCAGTAGTGGCTATCAGGAGTCCTGCAACTGGAGGCCAATGCCGGTCTTGCGTTCTAGTCATCTCATCGCCCTCGTCATGATAGTGAAGACATATGAGGCAGGAAGCTGACGGTATGAGAAGCCGACGGACAAAGCAAAGTGCGCGTCGCACGGGACCCTCGTATCGGCTCGACTCTTTCGAATCGGATAAGATACTGCTTACCTTGGAGGCACCAGGTCTTTACTGAGGAGTGGATGATGAACTGCTTTGACCCTGCAAAACATTCCTCGGATCCAACCCCTTAACACTAGCACTCCTCGCCTTCCCCTCAAACACAAACTCACTCACCAACTTCCCAGTCCCGGGTCCATTTTGTATGCCCCAACACGTATGTCCCGCCGCCAGCACCAACCCTTTTACCCCAGTCAATCCAACAAGAGGATGTCCACTCCCAGCATTAACGTTAGGCAAGTAACAAGCCTGCCGCGCCGTGACCTCTCCATCTCTCAGCTCATCAGAGATTGAAGAGACATAGTCCACGATATCCTGGCACCTCTCCTCGTCTACCTCGACCTCATCCGTGCCGAGGGGAAGAGAGACGAGACGATCGCCCTCGCCGCAGGCATAGACTTCGTTCTTCGGTCGTGCGTATATTTCCGGAGTGACTATCTGCTCGCCCCAGCCTGCTTTGAAGCTCTTGCCACCCTTCCCACGGTTGACCTCGTTCGTGCGGCCAAAGTTCGACGGAAGCTTGATCTGAGTGAAAAGTGCGTAGGCGCTTACTGGTCGCGAAGGTCGAATGGTGACGCTGTGGGCTCGAAGGGCGGAGATGGGTGCTGAAGGGTATACACTTGGTGTCCACGGTCCAGCCGCTATGACGATGTCGTTTGTTTGTATCGTTTCGCTCTTGCCACCATTACCCTTGTCTCCGAACGTCACACTCTCGACTGCCGAGTCGTTGTCCGTGTAGCCAATACCCGTGACCTTGCATCCTGTCCTCACCTTGACGCCTTTCTCCGCCGCAAGCTCAGCCATAGCCGTCGTGAACTGGAACGGATGGACCTGAGCAGTAGTACTAGGATCGCCCATTTCGTCATACACCCTCAAGCACTCCGCAGCAACCCAATCCATATCACCCGGCACCCCAGCCGCCCTCAGCTTCCCAAGCGCCTTCTGATCCCGCTTCTGCAAACTCACTTTCGCATCTCCATTCCCCGTCGCCTCGTTGTCTCCTGGTACAGCTTCACCAGTCTTGCCCTTCACACTCGGACCTTCCAGATGCCGGCCCACGCAATCCACCTGTCCACAATGTACGGCCCTGTATCCCCACCTCTCGACTCCGCCATGCTCGTCCGCAAGCTCCTTATGTAGTCGGTAGCTTAGCGGTACAATCGAAGTAGGATATGCCCATAATGCTAAAAGTCCACCTGCTTTTCCCGATGCGCCTCCCGCGATCTTGCCTGCTTCGAGGAGAGTGATGTTATGTTTCGATGGATCGTAGGCAGGATGTCGAGTTAAGAAGTAAGCGGATGTGCAGCCGATTATGCCACCGCCTATAACCACGATATTGCGCTTCTCGGAAGCTGCTGTCGTGGCCATGGCGCAAGTCCTATTTTGGTGTAATCGACTGCTGTACGTACGAGTGAGGTTGCGCAGGGCTTTGGTCGCCAGTGTTACGGGTGAGTGATCTGACAAGATGGAATACGATAAGAGCAGAGATTGGTATACTGACTCTTCAGCTCGTTGCCTACCAGGTGTGTTGTGGCGACATGCCGCCGTCGCCACCGCGCTCGAAGCTCCACCAGAGATCTACGTCATTCTTGCATCGATGCCCACATTAGGCAGCTGAATACTTTGACAGATCATGAAGGGCCTAGGGAACACGTGAAGGGGACGGTAGAGGTAGAATGTAGTCGCCGAGGCAGAAGAGGTGAATGGGATTGACGACGGAAAGCACAGACGTCCAGCACGGACGGGAGGCAGAGGAAGAAGGCAGTAACGGCGACGAGAGCAATATTCTCATGCATACACCGGCGTCAGTCAAGCAGGACCAGAATCGTGTAACAAGGAAACGCCTAAGCTTCGTTCCCAGCAGACTACAGCGCTTACTTTATTTGCTCATGATACGCGTCTCAAGACATCGCAGCTCGCTAGAACCACATCGCCCATCTACCAGCCCACGCACCATAACCGATATACCTGCCATGCTCGCCACAACCACAACACCCATCTTCAACAACCAGCTAATCGTGCCCACCTCCCTAATCGTAGAACATGTAATCCTTGTCGTATTGCAGAAGTACTCACTTTTCGCCACGCGACGCCACAGCAAAGCCATCGCGACACGCTTAGAAGCACTTCCTGTGCACGATCGAAGGACCAGACTCGTCGTACTCCTGCTTGGAGATCCACATCTGCTGGAAGGTGGAGAGGGAGGCCAGGATGGAACCACCGATCCAGACGGAATACTTGCGCTCTGGTGGGGCGATGATACGGACCTTCATGCTGGATGGGGCGAGGGCGGTGATCTCCTTCTGCATGCGGTCGCTGATGCCTGGGTACATGGTGGTGCCACCAGACTGAAGATTATGTTAGCAGATCCAAAAGAAATCGGCGTGTGGATTTGTTCTTACCATGACAATGTTGCCGTAAAGATCCTTACGGACATCGACATCACACTTCATGATAGAGTTGAAGGTGGTAACGTGGATTCCGCCAGATTCGAGACCAAGGACGGAAGGCTGGAAGAGGGCCTCTGGGGCACGGAAGCGCTCGTTACCGATAGTGATGACCTGACCGTCGGGAAGCTCGTACGACTTCTCGAGCGAAGAGCTCTGGCTAGCAGTCTGAATCTCCTGCTCGAAGTCTAGCGCGACGTAGCAAAGCTTCTCCTTAATGTCGCGAACGATTTCGCGCTCGGCGGTGGTGGAGAAGGTGTAGCCACGCTCGGCGAGGATCTTCATGAGGTAGTCGGTTAAGTCACGACCGGCCATGTCGACACGCGAGATGGCGTGGGGGAGAGCGAAACCCTCGTAGATTGGCACAACGTGGGTGACACCGTCACCGGAGTCGAGCACGATACCGGTGGTACGACCGGAAGCGTACAGAGAGAGCACGGCCTGGATGGAGACGTAGAAAGCCGGTGCGTTGAAGGTCTCGAAGACGATCTGGGTCATCTTCTCACGGTTGGACTTGGGGTTGATTGGTGCCTCGGTGAGCAGGACGGGGTGCTCCTCAGGTGCGACAC